TTGTTGTCATTTCCTTTACTTATATGAATAGTGAATACCACCTGCTATTCATTTTTGTTGATGTATGAACCAGGCATACTGAATCTGCACCCCATCAGCCACGTAGCTTCTAGTTGAGCCAGAGGTGGTTTTATTATGTCCCCACCACATAGTGTGGGGCCATATTGTCGGCCTAGGCGCGTCCGTCTGTCCGTCTGTCTGTCTGTCCGTCTGTCTGTCCGTCCGTACGTCCGGCAGTTTTCTCCAAAACCGCTACAGATATCACCTTCAAATTTTCAGGGATAACTTATGAGTGCATACAGATGTGGATGAAAAAAGATTTACTCAATACCTACTTCCTGTCGGCCATTTTGAAGTCAAATGCTAAAATCCTTGTCTGCAAACTTTAAGAAAAACGGCTTCACAGTTGCTTTTAAAACTTTAACATCTTGTTCAGCTCACTTCATTCTAGATCTGATTAGGTTTTGGACCTGTTAGCTCAGTCATGTCAGCCATTTTGAATGTTTTAAGAAAAGTTAGCGCACGATAATACTTTGTATCATATTGAATGGTGTTTTTCAGTTTTCATACTTTAACTTTTTAGTAGCTTTATAAATAATTTCAGGTGTACTTTGTTGTAAAAGCTTATGTTATTGTTAACAGTAGTTATATGTGATAATTTTGTAAAAAGATTTCAGCAAAAACTCATAATCACTTTTTTATTGTCGGCCATTTTGGATTTTTCCGTCCTAAAATTTTGTCTGTAAAGTCTTGTCTACGCGTTTTCAGGTGAACCGTTTGGTAGATCAATTTCAAATTTTCAGGGATGATTCTTAGTATGAGAATCTAGATCTGATTAGTTTTTGGGCATTCTGGGTAAATGTCAAGGCAGCCATTTTGGATTTTCCGTCTTAAAATCTTGTCTGTAAAGTCTTGTCTACGCATTTTCAGGTGAACCGTTTGGTAGATCAATTTCAAATTTTCAGGGATGATTCTCAGTATGAAAATCTAGATCTGATTATTTTTACGGCATTCTGGATAAATGTCAAGGCAGCCATTTTGGATTTTCCGTCTTAAATCTTGCCCGTAAAGTCTTGTCTACGCGTTTTTAGGTGAACCGTTTGGTAGATCAATTTCAAATTTTCAGGGATGATTCTTAGTATGAAAATCTAGAACTGATTAGTTTTTGGGCATTCTGGGTAAATGTCAAGGCAGCCATTTTGGATTTTCTGTCCTAAAATCTCGTCTGTAAAGTCTTGTCTACACATTTCCAGGTGAACTGTTTGGTAGATCAATTTCAAATTTTCAGGGATGATTCTTAGTATGAAAATCTAGAACAGATTAGTTTTTGGCATTCTGGATAAATGTCAAGGCAGCCATTTTGGATTTTCTGTCCTCAAATCTTGTCTGTAAAGTCTTGTTTACATGTTTTCTGGTTAACTGTGTGACGGATCAATTTCAAATTTTCAGGGGTGGTTCTTAGTACATGTTTTCTTGTTAACTGTGTGACGGATCAATTTCAAATTTTCAGGGATGGTTCTTAGTATGAAAATCTAGAACTGACTAATTTTTTGGCATTCTTGGTAAATTTTAAGGTGACCATTTTGGATTCTCCATCCTCAAATTGTGTCGGTAAAGTCTTGTCTACTCATTTTTAGGATAACCATTTGACAGGATCACCCATAGGTGGGGACATATTGTACACATTTGTGTTCTTGTAATCTCTTGAATAGGATCTTGTACCACTTCGTAGATTTTCTGGTTGGTTTTTTGTGAACATGATCTTTTGTTTGTAAAAAATTCCAAAATATTTTCAAATTTTATGTCATATCAACATTGTGAATTATTTTTCCAGCTCTTGAAATTGAAGTGGGTCCATAATTTTATAACTTGTGGAGCTAAATATAGTTTAGTAGTTGACATGAATCTTGACTTTTATCCCTATTGCTAAGGTTTTTAGAAAGTTTAGAAAACTAAGACATTTTTGTTGATACTACAGCAGATTAAATCAACTTTTTAACCTTTAATCTTGGATAAGAGGTTAATCTGATAATCTAGGTTAAACATAAGGTAGTAAGGCAGTATTGTTGTACTTATTTATGGCTGAGAACCCATTTGTTGAATAGTAGTGGTTTTTAAGCCTCATATACAGGTTTCCTGAAATGGATTTAGAAAATCTGCATTCCAGCGAGATCATGAAATGTTTCAGTTTGGCTCAATTCCAGTGAATTTTGTGTGACGGTAAATTCACATTTTTGCCAATCCTTAGTTTTGTCGAGGATGGTTAGAAGCAGCAAATCATTTCATACTAATATAATGATAGAACCCAAATATTATTCAACCACAAATATTTCAAAAATAATCAAACTGATACAGGTTTGATAAAGTGTGATAAAGGTCATGAGAGTTTTTTTCTATACCTTTATATGTCACCACCAGAAAGGGGTGACATATTGTTAAAGTCTCCAAATTTTTTGTGGATGGTGTTTGGTATCTGTAACAAATAGCAAGTGGTGACATTTAGCATGTTAATGCCTTGTTTGTTTATTTTTATTTTCAATATGTAATTAAAAATAGAATAAAAACCTGGAACATATTTTTCATAACTCGGTGAGTTCAGAGATTTACTGTAAACTGAAACAGTGAAGACGAAGCTCTCTTTTAAAAGCAAAGTCAAACGAATGCAAAGGGTAGGAGATATTCGGATGTCGAAGCAGGAAATTAAATCATGAATGATTCAGTACCAGTAGCATGCGATCATATATATTATAATTAAATATTACGAAGCTGGATTTTAAATAGAACTTGAAGAATTTAATAAACTGCAAATAATCATTTTATTTTTATGATTGCATGAGAATTAATCAAACTACTTGTGCTATACTTGACAACAGATTGGTCTAGCCAAATAAAGTTTCGTGAATTTATCTATTTATTTCTTGTCATTTAAGATTAGCTACTGTGCTTCTTGTCATTCTTGAGGAGTTACAATGAGAAATGTTCCGCCTTATATCTTGTATTATATCATATAAGTCACGATCTACAATATCTGGTTTGACTTCGTCTTGTTTTGATTTGATAACGAAACAATCAAAGGTAGTTTATAAATCCATATATTTACCCTGCCACATATTATTAACTACTCTTATGTTTCCAGAATTATATTACAGAATTAGGAATATCAATTTTTTGTATTTATGTCCCCGAAACACCATACTACACATGACTCTGATACACAATTTATGTGACCCTGGCACACAATTTGTGACACATCATATGCCAGAGAATACTGAATGATATTATATTTGACATATAAAATTTATTTAATTACGATGCATATAAAGATAATGTAAAGATTGATGGATTCTGTCTTTGTCAGATGGTGCTCATACTGATATCAAAAATTAAACTATTATTTGGTTATGCCATGTGATGCCATACAGATATTACCATTATCCTTCTTCATTCATTTCACTCTAGCTGATTATCCCACAGTCAATGCTACTTTATTTCCCTACAAATGTTCGATGTAAGGCGTCTATGTAAGAGCAGCATAATCTAGTATATATGATATGCTAGCCTTTGTAGTGTTATATTCCATATGGTACAACCCTAGGGTGCAATTTAAATACTATCAAAACTTCTTTTTTATTTTTCTTTGTTCCAAAATTGAAGTTTGATAAACTTGTCTAATTGATTGTAGAAGTGCATATGTACCTTTGACAGTATTTGAGATAAGACAGACATGTAATCTTTGTAATGTAGTTATAATAGTTATGCATCTTAGCATTGTATAAGTGAGATTATACTGTTATCTATATTTATTGACATTATTTACCATTTATCCGCTTACCAAACAAGGATTGAATTCCAAGGTCATATATCATGTTATATTATGTAATTATGGCACTTTATCAGGTGGCATTCTCAGAGAAACAATCAGCGTGTTTAATTAATGAAAAGTCACAGACAAAAATAACAGCCTTCAAACAACTCTCATATATTTGTTTGAAGTTTGGAATTATTAATTTTTAACAATTAACTTTAACTAAAAATCATGATATTATGTCACCACTGTTTTATAGTCTCCAACTTTTTTGTGGACAGTATTCGGCAGTTTGCATTGGCAGTCGGTGTCCAGTGTCTGTAATAAATGGCAGGTGGTGATATTTTGCATATTAATGCCTTGCTAATATATTTGTTACATCATGCTGTAAATGTTTATTAATTATATGTGGATATTCAACATATATATGGATACAGAGTGCATATGGAATATATCATTACTATACATTATGTACCTGATAAACTAGTGATTTGAAAGCACCTATCTAGAAAATATACAGTGCTATATAACATGATAAAATGTGTGATATTATTATGTCTGCATGACTTTCACCTTGTGAGGTTGTGTTGCTGTTAACGAGAATCTGTAAATGATCAATTTTTATCTTGCGTTATCCATTCTTAAAAAAATCGAACTTTGAATGAGTCCCCGAAGAATTTTAGGAATTCTTATTAGTGTTATGATATCAGATGAATACATTCAAATATGCATGTATTAACAAGTATGTCATGACCCTTTCAATTCTATTCTACAATCTACATAGTGCTTGTTGAAATGTACTTAGACCTGCCATATTTATAACGAACTTTATCCAATAGACATCTTGATTTATTATGAGTATTTCAATAGCAGAAGGATATTGACATTTCAAAAATATGATATAATTTTATTTCAATATATAGTCAAACCTGTACATATTTACACAGTAATACATTTGGGTATAGACAGTTTTGACTTAAGGTGGGCAATGTGGATTATTTTAGAAAGATTAATAATTATCTCGGGCTGAGTGCATTGACATTTATAAAGAAAGATTACATGTTAATGTGTATATAAAATGAACTGAAAAGCTGAAAGTTTTTTGTTTTTTTTCAATATCACCCATGTTCACATGTACAGGGGTCGCTGTATGTTATACTGAGAAAACCGTAATATGAACTTAATCAACTTTCAGGAATAGTGGGCGTGCTGAGCTGCAGAGCCGGGGAGCAGCTATACGTTCATCTATGGTCTCCATGGCAACCAGTGAGGGTACTCCGTCATCACGGAATAAAAAAATCGTCAATGTGATTTTACTCAATAAGGAGGAGATACAACTACAAGTTGATGTAAGTAAATTAAAATCTTTATTCGGAATAAAATCAATCAAGTTTTAAACACAAGTAAAAAAGATTGTAAAGAAAACTCAAAATACAAGTGGAAAAATTTCTAATTAAATTTTTGTGTATTTTTCAATGCAAGGAAATTAGATATTTTATTCAAGAATGGTGTTTATAGCATGTATTGATACTTACCATATATCTTTGTTAATGTTTTTGTGTAAACTTTAATTCATTCAAAACCTCAAGTACATGACGCACATATCAAATCAAATTGACTGAACTAATGTAAACCACAAATGAATCAAGAAATATTCCTTATAAATTCCTTATAAATTCCTTAAATGTCCTCAAAAGCAAAATATGTATTTAAAATAATTTCATAAAGATAACATAGTCATTATCACATCATGCATATGAACAAAAATATGTGTTATTTTCTAAAAAAAAAATAAACATGCATATACATCCACACAAAAAAGGTTCAGGACACATTTTTGCTTCCAGTTCAAGAAGAAAATCATAATGGAGAATATTGAGACTTACTCCCAAATATATCATTAATTTTATCACTTTTTCATATCTGAAAAATTAGACTGTTGTAAACATTTGATAAACTATGTGGTATTTTCTGAGGTCATAACTTGGCTAAAGTGGACAGTCAGTTATTTTAATGGTTAAATACCAATGTCTATTTTGAGATTTTTTGTAACTGGATCTTTTTGCAATTAAAAGTCAAGTAACCTGTCATTATCCACCAGTGTTTAACATTCCAATCTTTAGGTCAGTTTCTTTTAATCAAACACTTAGTAGGATGTTTCAAGCGGTATTTAAACCACATGTATATTAACAGACTGAAATGTCTTTACATACAATTGGCAATAATGATGGGTATATTAAAAAAAACAAATTAAACTTGTGTCATGCTTGATACCAATATTGGACCATTCTGATACATTGACACTAGAAACAAGATCATCTGGAATCTTTGAATATTTTAGTCTGTGTTCCTTATACTTCACAGTTTAATGTTTGCTATATTTTTTATAAAATGTCACCATATCTAATATCTGATATGTTTTCTCACTTAATCACTGCTTTTAATGTGAAATACAAACAGGTCATGCTGTTGAGGTATGATCAACATTTTTCGAGACCTTTTAGATGCAAACTTTGGAATTATTAATCACGAAGCTTTAAGAGTGAAAGTATTGCCTGTATTGACAAAATATAATATTCATTACATAAATCTGTCCAAACAAAACTCAATGTAGTGCCGGAAACGCAAAACTTTATTATCCGTTCATATAAAAGGTTTGCACGATTGTTAGTATAAGTGATCAAGTCAGCTAAAAGCCTTTTCGGATTAAACCCATGGGGCCCCTTTGTTTGTAACGCAACTTTATGGGTATTTTACATTTTGTATAGACCCCATACAAGCATGAAAGTGGCAGACCGAAGTTGTAGTAAAACTTAGTAGCTTAACGTGGATTTTAATACATGTTTAAATGAGATAGTTTGTAAAAACTCGTAACTTTAAATTTGGAATTATGGATTCACACTTGCATGCTGTAACCTTGCATTGATGAACTAGTAATGTTGCATCATTAGCATCCAACCAAAGGTTGCGGCACTCTATAACCTTTAATCCATGCAAACATATATACAGTCTTAAGTTTATGGTATAGGTCATTTGCTGCCAGACTAAAGAGTTGCTCGTTTCTGCCCCAAAGATTTCTTCTTTTGATCAATGTATTTAATGATAGACTCTGTTACAATGTCTAGACTTTAGTACTACCCTCGGGGTCTATTTATTAGCTTTTATTATACAACCATTATAAACGTTTTACATCAATTAAAGTATGCTTCTTTGCTCCAACCATAAACTTGCCATGTAAAAATCATCAAAATATGAAATACAATTTGTGATACCTTATTGAAATAAAGAAATGTACTTTATACTCAATACATCGGGTTTTAAAAATCAGCCTCAGAATTTTAACTAGATTTGGAAACTACATATATACATAAAGATCTGATTTCAGATTTAGATTGTTTAAGATATACTCAACATAGTTTCAAGTTCACCAGACCTGTTTTTATGTTGCCCTGTGTCAGGTTTATGTTTTAAACCTAATCCCACACATGCCGTATATACTGCACTTCAAACAACTCACAAAAAACAGATTTAAATAAAAGTGATGTATGGGTTTAGCTGCTTTGTGGCACATTTGAAATTCAAGATCAGCTCTATTTACATTATAAAGCAAGGGCACTCTTACAGTCTATGAATTGGTGAAAAGAATTTCAATTTCCGTTTTCACTTTTGTTCTCCACTCTATTTTCTCACACTGTTCTGTAAAGTATGTTATCTGAGTTTGGTTGCGTCATTGCTGGAGGTGATATCACTGATGATATTTTCACATTGTGATGATCCTGGCATCTGTTTCCAACAACAATTTGCCATGGTATACATTTGATGGTTATCATGTTTAAACAGTAAAGAGGTACTGTTCATGAGGGCAGTGTTGGATCTAACAATTATTCAATAATAGACTATAATGGAAAGTCATGTCTGAAAGTAGAGTCTAGTACAAAAGCATAGGCTTCAGAAGGGGTGGGTGTTTGGTGTGAACACATCCCCTTCTGAAACTACCCAGAAACTTTTCAAAAAACACTGTTTTTTATCAGAAAGAAACTTTTTATAGTCCTTAAAAATGCTCATATTGCACCAAGTAATATCTTCGATGAAAAAAATAAATTAAGATATTGAATTACCGATTTTGATTTTCGTTCAATGTTAATCTGATAATCTGAAAACATAGGACCAAATCCTATGCTAAGGGCTGATGTGAAAAAGTCACTCCACCATGGTGGAATCAAACCCACAGCCTCCCGATTACATGTCAGGTGCTCTGATATCTGATATTTGCATCATGGTTAATTACATATGTAACATTGCTGTATTATACACTGTAAAAAATACAACACAATACAATACAATACAATAACCTTTGCATTCATTTAACTTAGCCTTCATAAAATATAGTTTTGTCGAGACTTGAAGAGAAATCTCTGAATTTGCTGCGCCAATTAGAACTTGTTCCTTATATATTAAACTCTGCACCCAGGGATATGTATTATGGTACAGATATAGATTTATTTGGTCATGTATGCTTTGGAAATAAAGCACAAAGATATTTTTTATTACTCTATATACATATTTCAATTCACAAAACCGTATACTATTTTTATTTATGTTTTTTTATAAATCGTCCCATTTAGATAATTTACATTCCAACATGAAAATGTATGCTATGACCTATCAAAGGGCAAATAATGCTTTTTAATTTCAAGTACTTCGCCATGTTTAGTGTCAGTGAACAGGTGTGTTCTTTTATTGTCAAATATATTCTTAAGATTTTAAGGTATTTATTTTCTTTCTAGTAAACAGATTTCTGATAAAAGATTTATTCAGAAATCAAACTATTTAAATGAATGAAAAAAAGGTATACAATATAATAATTACTATCTTAACCCTTTCATCTCTGAACTCTAGGTATAAGTACTTGTACATTGTATTTATTGTGTACAGGTTCTTTGACTTCTGTTGTAAACATATTTTCTATTGTTATGCTCCTGGTAGCAATACTAAAGAACTTCTTTTGACTTTGAAACGTTGAGAACGTTGTCAACAACAGTTTTTATCACATATCCATAACACATACCATTAATTGTTTTCTTGCATTTAACAATAAACCTATTTAAGTTGTGCCATATGATGTTTAACACTGGAATAATAGGGTTAATATTTTGCCATAAAGTCACATTGATTTTTGAACTATTTTCTCTGAAATATGAATAATAATATGTAATTTTATTGCATTTTGATATGTTTTACAATGTGGGTCACATCCCTGCCTACTTTATTCCTTGCTAATTCCACCGTGTTCCACTCTTTTTTGACTTTTACTAGCAGAAGGGTTAATCAGCTCTATTGTAAGGTGTTTTCTCAACATACTTCCATGTTGAGTAATAATATACTAGGTGCTTTGCTAATCTAATGTAATCCAATAGGAATTCTAACCTTTCACTATAGAAGCACATATTCAATAATGTCTACAAATAATCTTTTGACAAAATTGTAAAAATGAATTATTAATCAATATTAATAACATTTGTTATTCTACTTTTAATTTTTAATGACATTGAAGACTGTTGAATCACGATTTATGTCAGGTCAGTCGTAGGCTTAAACTTGATTACGATTGACTTATTGACAAATACTACCAATTGATAGTAGTCACTCGTTTCTGTTTTTAAAGCATGTCAAGTATATAAAGTCCAATTAAAACGAAAATCTGAGGAATTTGTCAACATGCTTAGATTGCTTTGGTATGCAAGGCCATTAAACATAGATAAAAAATCACACCTTCATTGTTAGGTTAGGACTTATGATATATACTTCCTTTATTTTAATCATTATCGTGATTGTAAAAATGAAACTAAATGTACTAGAGTGAGTGAAGTTATTATGCTCTAATATTGATCGGAGTTATGTGACTCGGTAATTTATTTCTAGAATTAAAAGATATTGAAGCTTTTTATTGAGGTTCCAGGTAAAATTGAGTGAAATAGCACATTCAAAGAGAATTTACTGTAAGGATATCAACCTGACAAAATCTACAAGCAGTAACACATTTTGGCATAGTTGAGTAAGAGGGTAAATTTATATGAAATAAAATCACAATCATTATTTTCAAATTTGAAGTGGTAAGTTTGGAATCTAAAGGTATTTCTAAAATATTTAAAATCACTATAAAAGTGTATGACCTTATAAAGTCCCATATATGTAACATGATAATCTAATTCCATGATTAAGCTATTATTAAATTGTTTGGAATTTGAAGTTGAATTTGACCTAAAATGACATTTCCATATTATGTTCTGAATTTCATAACTAAGTGAAAGAATTCTGACTTGGTAATCATCGGAACCTTTGAAAGAAATTCCAAGAGCAAGTTGTGAGGTTTCAACGCATAATACATATACCTTGGTCCTCTGCACTTTTAAGTGATGGCTCATAGAACAAAAATACCTATTGTGTACAAACCAAAATTGAAACCCCATGCTTAAAAATCAAACATGTCTCTCTTATTTCACTTATTTTGTATTGATGATTTGAATGAATTTCAACATCTATTGCATTTTTACAATGTATATGCCAAACTACATGCCTGTTTACTTATAGCTTTGTATATTCCTCTTCTTTTCACTCTGGTTTTGTATTTAACTCATATCTGCTCTGACTTTTCTCTCAAAGACATGAAGTATTTCACTGGGAAATGAGTTACGGAAAAATGTCCAAACATACCAAAATATGCCCATGTTTAAAATGTAACGTTGGGCATGTCATGTGATGATATATGGGAATATGTATATCTACCCAGGAATGAAATAAATTATGATGAAATCTACATGTTAAATTATTCTGAAATTCATTAAAATATTTCATGTCATTGAAGCTTAGGAGATAAATCGAATAAATAATCATAAGCTTATGTAGAATTTTAAACATGGACTGGCCACACTGTGGTTCCCCAGAAGTGTGATCTTTGAAAATAGATTTCTGACTAAAACAACACAAGTTCTGTGTCTTAATTTTATTCTTCCCGTAGAACCACAATCTATTGATGATATACACTTATACAGTACTGAACAAATGCTTTATAAAAAGAAATTAAATTGTTGTTCTGACTAATGTAAAAAACATGTGTTTCTATACTTGCTATTTTCTGTTTCTTTATATTCTGGGATTTCATATGATGCTTATTTTTTTCAAAATATGTGTGATGTCAGTCATTAATTTTAAATAGTTTAACAGAAATGAAATATACACAACAAGGATACAGCAATACAAAACCAATATTTCAGAATGTATTTTGAACTTGCTCCAAATACCATAAGCAAAGTTATGTTTCATTGATATTTGGTTATATATTTGAACATATCCTGTTATAAAGTATAATGAACATATAACTGGGCATGTGTAAACATCATAAAATGTAAAATATGCAACAAAACAAATAGGAATGTTGTTAAGAATAGTAAATGTCGTTGAACCAGGCTGTGCTATATGCATGTATAGCTAAGCTTTGATATATAATTATCATGGTGTTATTTTACCTGTTGTATTTAACTAAAATGTGTTTTGAGAATTTTGTCAATACCCCAAATGTTAAGATTTGTTGAGATTCATTTTCTTAAATAAGTCTACAATGCACCAGATGCCCCTCCCAAACAAAAACTCTAAAGAATAGAAAATATTTGTTAGTAACTCGTTAATTTTGCATTTGAAACTCCCCGGCCCACATCTTTATCTATCTCTTTGAACATGCCCTAAGGTCCCCAAATGTCATGCACCTTGCATATACGCATTACACAGGACATGCTCAAAATCCTACTCTCCTCCGCAAAACCTTGCTACAACTCTGGCTGATACAAGAGAAGTCTGCAAGGGTAGAGCTTCAGATTATCTCACTTGGAATTCCAACACAGCAAACATTTATTTCTCAGGGGATCTACTTTCAGTCCCTATCTAACCAGGATCACATAGCTCTCATTCCTTCTATCTGATGCCTCTACTCATATACACAGCATACTGATTATACAACTTTACCTGTATTCTAACCCTTGCGAGAGAGCTTTACCTTCATTTTCACCTGTAAGAGAGAGCTTTACTTTTCCCATCTGATCCATTTTCCATTAAGCTTTTGTATTGGCATTTGCTTTTGTAACAAATGCTCTCACTTTTGTAATTGAACCCAGGTAGTTACATTTTATAATGTAAAATGCCTTGTTGTACTGTCACCACCACAAGTGCTGACATAGTGTTATAGTCTACAACCTTTTTGGGTGTTTTGGCCAAATCTTGAAAGTTTAAGGCCCATTTTTTTAAAAAAAAACCAAAAAGGCCAAATAATGCCGAAAAGGTCCACTAATTGAGGCCCGCCCAAGCCGGGCCCCATGCCTCCCTTCCCCCTAGATCCGCCAGTGATCAAAACACCTCTCTATTCAGAATACCTCTCAATGTGAACTCTTTTCATCAATCCCAAATTTGATATCTTTAACATTTAAAAAAAACTTGAAATGTGAACACCTGCTTTTTTTTAAAGAGAGCTTCATATGCTCAAAGTATCAGGCTCTCACCCAAAGGGTAGATAATTATTATATCTCTCTGTTTTGCCACAAGCAACATCCTCCCATCAAGACTAAGAAGGAAAGAGATGACATGGTGTATCTCTCTGTCTATATCTAATTTCACAATAACGATAGTCGAACCTTTACCATCTGGATATAGAGCAACTTGACATTGTCCTATTTTTTAACCCGTATGTGAATTGAATTGCTGAAAATGATATGTATTCATCAATGATAAACGGTAATGCAATAAATAATTTCTAATTGAATATTCCAAAAGCATTCATTACGATGTGGATATACGTCAGAAATCTTCTATTGACATCAATAAGTTAATTCCAGCTTCAAAACAGGATGTTAAATGAATGCTAATTGCCGGATTATCTATTTGCTACTGATGGATACTTCTATTAATGTATATATTGTTATAAAATTGCATATGAATTGTGTTGTTAATAATCGATTAACATCATAATATTTAAAAATTTATTCGTAAATGTATTTTTATTATTCATTATCTATTGATAGTACAGTATAATGATTTTAAAACTGCTGCTTTTTGTTTTTTCATATTTTCCAATCATCCCTCGTGATTTTAAGCATTTCCACTTTTGCTTGGTTAAACATTGCCATCATGGTATTTTCTTGTAAATGGGTAATATATGTTTGAAGTTATTTACATTAAAATATATCACTTCCTACATCTTAAGTGTTCATGTGCTGTCAGATCTTATCAGTCATATACCAAGTTTTTTTGTTAGCACCTCAATATAAATCATTTTTAAAATCCATGGTAGATTAAGAACAAACTTATCCTTGGTTTATCATGACACGGGCCTGCAATAAATCATACACATTTTCAGAAAAAATGTATTTTAAAGTACAATTCTTTTGAACTTATGAAAGGTATGTAGGCTATGTAGCTATATTGCTTTCAATGCTATTTTTCAAGATCAAGGTAACAAAAGATTAGATTGTTAAATTATACGTTGGTTATAAAATTCATTAGTTTTTTTGTATGTATGTGATATCATTTTATTCCCATACCATTAAGGTTTCTTTCACAGTTCAAAAGGTGAAATCAAAGGTGATGCCCAAGAAATTAAATAAATGCTCGTGGAATTGTTGGTCTTGTACCATGTCTCTGTGATCTCATACCCCTCCCCCCCTTTCCCAATATCTCCCTAGCCAGTAGAAATACTTTTTGGGAGGAAACATGAGGACTTGCTAGCCACAATTAAAATGTAATTGCATTCTTAGTAAAAAGCAAGCTAATAGAAGCAACTTTGATAAAAGTTGAATGAATAATCCAATTAGCTCGAGAATATGTTTGAATTAAAACATATTTTATATAGGGTTTAGGTTATAATTCACCATGATAATAAAAATGAAGTAAACCGTGTATACTGTACATATTATTTGAAGTGTGTTATCTGTAATTACAGGTTAAGGGAAAAGTACAAGATGTCCTCAACCAAGTCTGTTCCCATGTTGGTCTACGGGAATCTGAATACTTTGGGCTGGCCCAAAAAGTTGGTAAGTTGCAATTTCATTTAATTCTCAAGGGCCCGTTTTTTGGAAATGTCGTAACGTACGATTTGGTCCCAAGTCATTGTTTATGTAAAACTAAACAATGATTTTCTCGGAATCGTAAGTTACAATTATACCAAAATGAACCCATATTTCCCATAGAGCAATATTGAGCTTTGTTTCCATTTCTATGATACAAGGTTATACCCATTTAGATGCTTATCATGTCTTTCTGTTTTTCAACAAGAAAATGAACTAATAGAAGGCCATTGTTTCTCGCCATTATTTTATATAGGCATTTCAAGACCACTCTTTTTTAATCACATCACCACTTGTAACTTTAATCAACATTTTCCAGTTTTCATTTTGAAGTTAAGAAAACATGTTGGTATTTTCTCCCCTTCCCCTGAGAATCAAAATGTTTCACTTCAGTTAGAGACATAGTTAATGACTTATAAAGGGTTGTAATTTTCATGTGGATAAAATATACATTTATACTTTAAGAATTTGATTAACAAGTTGGCCTAGTTACCTAGTATATATTGGGACCTGTTTTGAAGTTAATCGTTTCCTTCTAAAAGTAGTATGTGTATTGTGGTTGGAGTAAAGTGGTTACAACCATTACGTAGTCCCTTCTACCTTATCAATATCATAACTTACAGTTTTTGAGTGTCTAGGTCATATACTGCGTCAGACTGCTTTGCATTCTTTGGTCCATTGGTGTGAATGTTAAAAGTGCAAGTGAACTTAATCTGAGTAAAATTTTATCTGGGGAGAGATAAAACTGGGTAAATAAAAGAGGAGTTGGAATCAAGTGCTCTGCCAGACTGTTTAATAGCGGTGATGAAAAGTAGTGCACATATACAAGAACATGTACAGGTACTGTATACTATGACTCATCGATATTTTCAAGACTAATAAAACTCATAAATCGACTAAGAATACGTTGCCACATTATTGCTTTTATCTATTCAGATACCTGTACCCATAATTTACCACTAAACATCAGAGTATTCTCACTCCCCTTGTCAGATTTCAGTTCTAAAAGGTTTTATTTCTTCACCCATTTGACCTAGAATATAGGATTATAGTTTTTATGTTGCCACAAAAATATAGTTACAGTGCTTTGTTGTGACATGTTGTTATAGTTTCCAACATTTGTGTATGGTGTTCAGTGGTTGGTGTTTGGTGGTCACCATTTGGTAGTTGGTGTCTGTAACTAATGGCAGGTGGTGACATTTTGCATGTTAATACCTTGTTGTCCTTATGTAGAAATGAGGCCTGTCTAAGAGGGAAATAATGAATGAATTTTCTGGTAGTAAATAAAAGGAATCAACTTCAGAATGATTTGTTGTGTGTTGAAGATTTAAGGGCAGAATCTAATGTCGAGAGCAACTTTTCTAAAACAGTGTTTTAATTTTAAGGTGTCACGACCACGAATATGTACAAATGTTATTATGTTTTAATGAAATAAATAAAAATAAAATAAAAAATATTTCAGGCTCATATGATTCTTTATCTTGTCTAATTTTGGATGCTGATTCAAATCTACCTCAACCCGTATCTTTGTATTGTGTCCTTTAATATACTATAAGATTATATTTTTGGATGCTGGTTCAAATCTATCTCAATCCGTGTCTTTGTATTGTGTCCTTTAATATACTATAAGATTATATTTTTGGATGCTGGTTCAAATCTACCTCAACCCGTATCTTTGTATTGTGTCCTCTTATACTATAAGAATATATTTTTGGATGCTGGTTCAAATCTACCTCAACCCTTGTCTTTGTATTGTGTCCTCTTATATACTATAAGTTTATATTTTTGGATGCTGGTTCAAATCTACCTCAACCCGTATCTTTGTATTGTGTCCTCTTATATACTATAAGATTATATTTTTGGATGCTGGTTCAAATCTACCTCAACCCTTGTCTTTGTATTGTGTCCTCTTATATACTATAAGTTTATATTTTTGGATGCTGGTTCAAATCTACCTCAACCCGTATCTTTGTATTGTGTCCTCTTATATACTATAAGATTATATTTTTGGATGCTGGTTCAAATCTACCCAAACCCGTGTCTTTGTATTGTGTCCTATTATATACTATAAGATTATATTTTTGGATGCTGGTTCAAATCTACCTCAACCCGTGTCTTTGTATTGTGTCCTCTTATATACTATAAGATTATATTTTTGGATGCTGGTTCAAATCTACCTCAACCCGTATCTTTGTATTATGTCCTATTATATACTATAAGATTATATTTTTGGATGCTGGTTCAAATCTACCTCAACCCGTATCTTTGTATTGTGTCTTCTTATATACTATAAGATTATATTTTTGGATGCTGGTTCGAATCTACCTCAACCCGTGTCTTTGTATTGTGTCTTCTTATATACTATAAGATTATATTTTTGGATGCTGGTTCAAGTCTTCCTCAACCCGTGTCTTTGTATTGTGTCCTCTTATATGCTATAAGATTATATTTTTGGATGCTGGTTCAAATCTACCTCAACCCGTGTGTTTGTATTGTGTCCTCTTATATACTATAAGATTATATTTTTGGATGCTGGTTCAAATCTACCTCAACCAGTGTCTTTGTATTGTGTCCTCTTATATGCTATAAGATTATATTTTTGGATGCTGGTTCAAATCTACCTCAACCCGTGTCTTTGTATTATGTCCTCTTATATACTATAAGATTATATTATTGGATGCTGGTTCAAATCTACCTCAACCCGTGTCTTTGTATTGTGTCCTCTTATATACTATAAGATTATATAGGTATCTGCAAGTCATGTTCCTGACTGCAATATCCCAGCCTTTAAGGAGACAGGGACAATAATGTTAACTTGACCGAACAGAACTAATAACAAGCTTTATTTGAAAGTCCTCTATATTGTATTATTTGTGAGATATAATTTGTGAAAAACATAGTGATTTATCACCAAAGACCTCATCACTGAGTTCCTGGGTAAAAGTACATCAAACACCTTGTCCTTCCTTTGAATAATATCTAACTAGATGTATTTTTAAATGTGAAATTAAGATAAATAGAGAAAAACAAGATAAACAAGAAATAAAACAAACAGGAATGAAATCTACAATTTGTTCGTCAAAAAGAGATTGTAGTGGTTCAGTTAACATTGAAGAGAAAGATGAAGTGATTGAAACAAGTATGAAATGCAATGGTTGGGTAAACCACTGGATTTGAGGTTTTAAGATCAGTTGTAGAGACCATTATAACCTGAATGTGATATCTACATCTTTCAAACCATCGTTTGGAGCATGCCTAAAAACCAAGAATGTTCCACCTAAAAATGTAATGAGGTAAAATACTTCACTGGGTTTTATCAGCGGCATTCACATATTTCCTCATTGAGAGATAAAAAAGTTCCGCACAGTTCTGGGAAAAATTTAATGCCGGCATATTTCCTGATTGTAAGGAATGATCAAGAGAGTGGTTAAAATTTCTAAATACATTGACATGGTATGTCATATACTGTATGTATTACAAATTATTTAGAAGTTTTAATGTTTATCATGGGAGAGTATATTTTAGGATCGATAACAAAGGTTTGGTACTGTAAGGTCTAACTCCGGAATTTGCACACTTAGAAGAAAGATTCTGTCGGAATTCGCTCTCCCGCTCAGTTACTCTTAGAAGGTGATATCACACATCTTACACTCTAACATGATAAAGCTATCTCATACTTTCTCAGCTCCACTGAGTTTATGTAAAAAATGATGAACTGTTTTACTGGTATCACATTGCATATCAACTTGAAAGAAATGGAATGAACATTATTTTTGATAGTACAGGTCTGAGTTAAATAAAAAGTCATTAGTGTTTGGCAGATTTGGGCTGCAGATTTCTAAAAATTACCTTTGATTCTAATTATATTGAAGTGTCTCAATTGAATTTGATAAATTTAAGTCATGTTGTTATGGCAACTATTGGCTACCATAGAAACTGGTGCAATATTTTGAGTGGTTGAATTATAGGGTTAGTCTGACCTGGAAATATTGTGTCTCACAGATAATTTTCAAAATTCTTCTTTTCTTTTATGACCCTGTTTGCACTAAACTGTTTTGGGACATTTTAGGTGCAATGCATTTAGTAAATAAATATGAGAAAATATAATGAGGGGTTCCTTCAGTGATTTTAAAAGGTAGATGTGACATTTCACCTGATTTGCTATACCACAAGGTTGTATTACAAAAACTGGGATATAAACATGATGATGAAATCTCAACATTTTACCAAAACCATTTTGGTTCATTTTTGAATCCACTGTTATTATTTTCTGTAGTCATGCTTCATTCTCTCGTCTCCTTATGGGGGTATTATTACTGAATGCTTCCCTGGGGTCGGTTTCCTAATTTCTCAAGATATACATGATGTTGGGAGAAAAATCTGAGAAGATTTAGGTAACGCGACCCTGATAATTAGGAAGAAAACAAGTTGCAGACTAGCATCTCAATCTAACCCTTGCTTCAGGGTTTTAATTGAATATCTCATATAATTAAAACTCTCATATGCAAAAGAGGATTGAATTGTTGGTTGAAGTGTCAAGCCACTATCATCCTACCTTGTATTTATCATTATTAAACTTTCTTAAATGTGTTACCTTATTTCTGATGGATAAAGATAAGAATTTGTAAATTAAGTGTCCAAGTTAGTTGGTTATAAGGGACTACCTTTACCTGTGGTACCATCAGGAGAGTCAACCACAGACATTCCACAAATACTCTTGGTTTTACCTGTGCCTATAGAAGGCTGGTCTTTCTATTATAAACCTTCTGTTCAGCCCATAAGACCATCTGGGTGTATCAACAAATTGTCTTAAATTGCTTATAATCAGAGGAAGGTTCGACAAAAGGTTGTCATGTTCATAGGAAACCCAAGTATATTCCCAATTTTTTTCTCATGTACTACCAATGCTTTTCAGATAGCTATCCTCTTTATGAGAAAAAATAGTAAATTTTGTATAGCCAGGGGGAAACCATAATGAATACCCAAGTATATTCCCAATTTTTCTCATGTAATACCAAAGCTTTTGAGATAGCTATCCTCTTTATGAGAAACAATAGTAAATTTTGTATAGCCAGGGGGAAACCATAATGAATACCCAAGTATATTCCCAATTTTTCTCATGTAATACCAATGCTTTTGAGATAGCTATCCTCTTTATGAGAAAAAATAGTAAATTTTGTATAGCCAGGGGGAATCCATACTGTTAAGCCAGTGTATTCATTCAGTCTAATATGAAAAACCTCAATGGATCCTGATGGGAATCATTAAAGAGAAATGTTTTGTCCCTGGTAGATTACCTTGAGAGGTTGGCATCTTTGTATCACTTGCAGTCCCTCATGTCAGGGTATCAGTAGATCCACTTTCAAACCACTTTCATCTTCAGGTCACATTCCTCTGTTGCAATAACAATGTCCACTCTCAAGTAGGATATCCTTGTCAGCATGGTCTAGCAAGTCATTGAGAATCTATTGAAAATCACTTTTCAATTATTATCTACGATACCATGGTATCATAAATATGAGAAGGGCAAGGATTTCATCTTCAAAGTGGTTTCCATAGGATCTGATTTTAAACACAAGTATGTAGGAAAATGCAAAAATTAAAGAAGTTTAATTCAATAATACAAATGAAAAATGGCTTTTGGTCTTTTCCTGAAGAAATCCATTCAAATCTCAGATATTTTGTTGGAATGTATTATAGTATATGATTATATAACAGGAACAGCATTTTTTAAACTATCATACATTTCAAGGCTGTAAACAAGTCACAATAAAGGATAACATGTCATTCTAAAATGCTTTCATCAGCTTAAAAAATAAGAAAATGTCAAAAATGTGAAGGTGAATTATGGTTTTGCCATTGTTTACATATTTACTTGGCAAGCTTTTTGTTGTGATGCAGTAGCTGGCCTCACATATGTGAAGTCACAGGGGTGCAGGGCTTTCATAAGCAGCAGTCAACATGCGATTTTCACCAGTTGTTTTCATAGAATTGCCTGTTGTTTTTAGTGACTTTTCAACTTTTCCATGTTAAATTTATGATTTCCATTAATTTTGCCTGGTATTTTCACTTATTTAACCTGTTGTGAGAAATTCTAGTGAAACCCCTGGGGGTGCCTCGCTCAAAAATACCTCCAAATATCATGTTTGTATGATGTGATATGACTGGAATAGAGATAATTAACATCATAAGTCAAAAGTTTCTGTTAATAGTCAGTCATTTGTGTATCAAGTATCAAATGCTCGGTATTCAGACAAAGTTGTCTTTGTCTAGTTTTTCAAAATTGCGGCTTCAACTCTAACATGTTTTTGCATGTTTTCTGTTTGACCTCTGAGAATATAAACACTTTTTTCTCAAAATGTAACATTCCTGTACTGCATTAGTATTTATTGAAGTATGACCATTTAATCAGAAATGTATGCATTAAAAATATGCACTGCATTCTTGGGAATACAAAACAGGACAGTCAATCACCTTGATATGACCCCCGAATTTTTCTGTGCAAGTTTTACGAAAATACCATATCTGAAGGAATTTATATTTTTAGCTGGTCTCCTCAGTGTATTGCAAGTAAGTTTCCATCTGGCTTTCACATTCCAAGTTATTATGGCACATATGCAGCTTATGTAGTGAAAATAAACATGCCTGGGGTCATCAAATAACAACTGAGCTACAAAAATACATTCAAAGGTATTTGGTATGTCAAACTGTAAATACATAGCTGTGTGAGAGACTATTAACTCATCATTACCCTAATAAGGATATTATATATTATCTCTATGCAGTTCAGTGAATTAATAGCCATAGAAGTCAAAAGCGGAAAATTTTATTTTTATCAGTGCCAAAAATCATATATTTTCAAATGTCCATGTATATTTTGGGATGTAAGGTCTTTAAATATATATCAAGTATGAATATTGGAATGTGTGTACATGTATAAAGATATATATATACTGTTGCCTTCTTGGCAGTATTCTGCATTTGAAAAACAAACTGCAACTTTAATTCATTTGTTTTTCTTCTGGAATGGAATGCCATATATTTTTTTCATTGGTTATCATTTGAAGAAAATATGTAACTGTAAACTGTATTTGGAAACCTAAATTAAAATGTTCACATTCAGTAGCTATTCTGGTTCAACCAGCTTCCAGGTGATAACAGTAAGAGAAAATATGTTGTTTTGATAAATGGCTTGACATAGTTCAGAGTGGCAGAAACTATATATCAATATGTTGGTCAAAACTATAACTCATTTTAAATGTCCTTAAAATATTTTCATGCTGACCTGATGGTTTATACAGACCTAGAAGATATGTAAGGCTGAGACAACATTTCTCTGAATTCTTATTTGGAACCACAAGTCCCTCTGTTTTTACAGATTATTTTACTACTTTGATGCTGATGATATCTTCATAATCTCAAATTTACCTTTAATGGGATTTAGAATGTGAAATAAATGTAACCTACCTAAAGGCAGAAAAATGTAGTGCCATGATTTGTGATAAGTTGCAATTATTTTGTTTGTTTGTTTAGAGGATTATTTCTAATTGAAAGAGGTGATCTAAATCATGCTCTTGCATTGGGTTAAGATGACACAAGCGTGACATATGTTTGATGTTTTATATGTTTTATGTTTGATGTTTAAATGTAATAGGTAATGAATCATGTCACATATGATCATAGGATGACATTTCAGACTCAGTCGGGTCCATATTTTTGAACAATTAAACCAACTCATGGATATTAGATATGAAACTTGAAGTTACATCTGCTTCCTTATGCAAGTCAGCCTTCAGGTCTTTAGTGTCTCCATCTATCTTCTAGGCTATGTGATTAAGGATGGTGAATATCAAAAATAGCATTTAATCATGATGTAAAACTTCAAACAACTAGCCACAAAGCAATTTTTCAGATATACTTGCATGTACTTCCTCATTTTGGTAGTAATTATGTGATAAGAAGAAATTCTACAAGTATGAGTACATAGAGTAGTATAGGTAGTTCTGGACTGGAGCAATATTTTGAAAAAATCCTTTGACATGATATTTTAGTTATACCTCGAGGAAAACAGATGGTCACACATAATAGAAAATGATAAATCATGTCCATGTTCTTATCTTGGACAGACATCTCCCTTCAGTTGTTATATTTTAGTGTATGTTATATTAAGACATAGTCTAGCTACAAGCTCTTGTTCCCCTTCCCCCCTCCCAGTACTTGACCCCATACCTTCTCATACACAAAAGTGAAAACAGGGGGTCCATAGTCTTTAAGCAAGACTTATTGAGACAATATGTATGCCAAAATGTTTTGTCTCATTTTTTCTGGTGAGATGATATTGCTTTCTGATATAATTAACCTGAGTCAATACTAATATGATGCTTTGGATTTAATCTGAAATGGACATATACGAGGGGGGATCAATAAGTAATTGACGCTTTTATATACCGCTTTTCATAGACCAATCTCTTTGATTTTTTACCAGTGATACATGGATAACTACATAATGTATTCTGTAATTGTCTCTTATTGTTATTTATTCTTGTTCATTGTCATGTTTATGCTAATTTAAGCTGGAATAAATATTTGTGTTTTTCAGATAACGAGTACCAGTTCTTATCCCTTGATACCAAATTGGCCACGTATGTACCACAGAGGTGGCGCATTAACAGAATGGTAAGTTTAGATAACCTCAAATACATGTGTATGTGTAGCTTATAATTCGTGGGTTCTTTTTTTTGTGGATGGAGGGCATCTCACGAATATAGCGAAAATATACACACCGCAAAATTAAAGACGTGTACAGTACCTGTTTTGTTTAATTGAATTTTGATATATTACAATAGAAAAGACAACTCAAGCAACCACATAACTCCAAAGTATAACAATTGAAAAATAAGTTTATATAATCAGTTACTTAATCATACAGACCTCAACAAAATAAGATCAAAGTGAGAAAATTGAGGTTAAAGTGAACCTCATTTGTAAACAGAACACGTCTTGGTCCATTAAAGTATTTAAAATGACTAAAGCAACGTATCGTATGGTATAAAAGTATAGACAAATCGCGGATGTCCTATAAGGAAATGTGTTGAAGTTCATGTTCGAGTGAAAATTAAATATTATTGACATTCCACCTGTGAAGTTATTTATGGCGTTTGAATATCATTAGTTATTTTTATAGCTACATATACATGTTCATCCATGTATACATATTTTTACTTTTGTTTTTAAATGGGTCAATTTGTTTTTGATAAATCCTTTTGTATTTACTGAATGCAACTATCTTTTTTGATAAATGCAAAATGTATTCAAAATCAACTGAATTGAAAAGATGCATTATTGGTAGAGCTGCACACTTAAGGTTAAAGTTAGACCTTTGTCCTGTTTTGGTGTAAATATTGACAAAAACAACTTAGGAATGTCAGCTTATTTTTATTATTTATAAAAGGGCTATCTTGACATGGTTTGTTGTTGCTTAAGTCTTATTGGAATGTATCTTCGCATGAAGTAGGCTCACTGTGCAGCAGATGAAACTTGAAATATCTCAATAATTAACCGGAACCCCCATGGCCCAGATGTAACTGTAATATTTATTAAAAAGAATGATGATTTAATTGCTTCAGACCATATTTTAACAAAAGAGGTAGCTACACTGTTACACAATTACTTTTATAGAAATCCTGTTTTTCAATAAGGGAGAGGGGGGTATTGGTATCGATGTCTCGTTTACCATTAACAGGACTGTATTCGCCTGAATGTCAGCGTCTAAAATTAGGCAGATGAGTGTCAGTGAAGCTCTCTTTTAAGGAGGCAAACTATTGAGAAGGTTTGAGCTTCAGTATATATCCAGTTTATGGTGATTTTCATACACATTTTGCCTCCTTAGTTAATTCTAGTAACAATATGCGACTGAGATGTTTACTCTTGTTATCTTTCCAGAGCACTACAGCAGGGAAACCTATGCTAACGCTATATTTCCGGGTGCAATTTTATGTTGACCATGTGATGTTACTAAAGTAAGTTTTGATTCATGAATAATGCTTGTATTGTAAAGCCTGTTTTATTCAAATGCCTCTGGAATTGGCGAAAAGTGTTTGGATAAGGAAGTGTTTATATTTCAATGTTTTTAATATGGAAGTAAATAGAAAGAACAAACAGGATCAGAAAAAGATGATCGCAGATTGCAGAGGAAGGTTTTTAGATTGGAGAGGTGTTTGAATATATGCAGGTTTTACTGTATTTAAGTCAAATCTTGAAGATAGTAGATTTACCTCATGATTCTTTGTAAAATTCATCTAGTATACTCAAGACTAAGTGCATGCTTCTTAATAATTGCTTCAAATATTTTAGGAATACTATCTATAGACACAATATTCTTTTTGACTATTCTATTGACTGTTCTGTATCCTGAACAGATCCTGCAAATATCAAACAAGTAGTTGAACATAGTTTGAGTTTTGAGTGAAAGTCTTATTATCCCAAATTTTGATAACCCAACTTAGTCTAGTCCTCATGACAAAGAATGTTGGAATTATTGCTGACCATGAATATATTCAACCATTCATACTACCTCATACTTTTAAATATGTTCAATTGGCATTTCACTCATTATCCTAAATATGTGTATATTATTATCATTATGAAAAAATGTAGACGTCTCAACTTGTTTTTCACCCACAGTGGTGACATATTATTGTATTCTCCAATTTTTTGTGGCGGGTGTTCGGCTTTTGATGTTTGGTGGTTTGGTAAATGGGAGCTGGTGACATTTTTTATAAATGTCTTGTATTTTTTGTTGCAGAGAGCGAGTGAGTCGCCAGTTGTATTACCAGCAGTTGAAGGAGAATGTTCTCACATATAACCAGTTAGGCAATGAGGAGAAAAGCTTCCTCATCTCGTCGTACGCCATCCAAGCAGACCTAGGGACTTACAATAGTAGCAAACATGGCACTGAATACTTTGATCCTAGGGAATATTTTCCTGCTTGGGTAAGTCATAAATCTTTGGCAAATAATAGTAAAAACAGTGTAATGGAACACCTCTCTTCATGAAAATATTGACTTACATGTTAATGAACACCTCCTCTAAGGAACACCTGTCTATATGTGACATTTGCCAGTAGAAAGGGTGTTCCATATACACAGATTTAACTTTTCACTGGGGATATAAGGACTTCATATAAGACTATGTAACATTTTTGCCTCACTAGATTGTTAATTGACAGAGCCGGATATGGAATACAGTAGTTGACAATGACATTGATTGAAGTTTACGAAGCATACTCCCGCTGCTGAAGTGTGCCAATTTGCTGGGAAATGTTACTAAAGGCTAAATGCACATCTCCCTGCCCACTCCTAATCTTGTTGATACTGTTAGCCAAAAATGCCCTTTAATGAGTATTGTCTCAATGTATAAAACACTGAGATAAATAGAAAGTGATTTTTTTAAAAACAAGTCAACATTATCGTCTTGACTTATAATTATCACTCCACATGCTATATACCACTAACAAACTACAGATAAATGATGCCAAAAAGTGAAATTGAAATGGCATGAGTATTATGTCATTAAACATTGTATAAGTATGTGTAGTATGTTATCAAACCCTATAGCCATACTATGTGATTGTCAGTGTATGGAAACCTAAACTTAATTTCACTCAAGTTGTGAACCTTGAATGAATGGTCAATTTTTGTATAGTCTATATAATTCCCTAACTTGATAATTTGCAGAATTAATATTTAAGCATGATACAATGGTTTTGAAGATATAGCTTTCTTATTTTTTTCAGAGTGACATTTGAAATTAACAACATCATAGTATGACTTCATTAATTGAACTAAAAGTACAACATGTGACCTTCCAAAGGTTAAATGCTCTTATATAACCTGAAATATTTTGACAAATTGTTTATACAAGTTGTTGTTTTGATTATATACAAGGTGACCCAAAAATGCAACCCTGTAAATAGGAATAGCTTTCTTAATTGGTGCGGTCTTCTCAAATTGTTTTATTTACTAGATAGTGTTCAGTGGAGCAAACAATGGTATTCTTATCTATTGACTGAGATTTAGACAAATCTTTTTTTCTATTTAGGCATTTCTCATATAAAATCCTTCAAAACTTCATAAATATGGGCTATCTGTCTTCGTCATTTCTGGAGTTTTTTAAATACATTGTATATGCTATACTTGTGACTTGCCTATTTGTTAAATACTGAAAATGCACATATTTGAAATGGCAATTTGGAAATGGGAACTTGCCTGGATAGAAAATGTGACTTCTCTCAATGCAATTTGTTGATGCAATAGCAGTATTTCGCTGTTTGCTTTATTGAACACTCACACTCTAACTCTCTAAAAAAATCCAAGAAGATTTTTAAATTAATCAACTTATTCATTAACATTTTTTCGGGTCACCCTGTATTTATTGACTGGGTACCACTAACCATAGCAAAGGTTACACCATTAAAACTAGCAAAAAGTTATGAAATTATGTCAGCTAAGGGCAATTTTGTAATAAAACATCATGCATGTTTCTAATTACTTGGTTATGAATGCTCTAAATAATATAACATAATGTAAGTCATTTGTGACACAACAGTTATTGTATTCATCACATTTTGAATTGTAAAGTTTGTCAAAGCGGGATGGAATGAAAGAAGATAATTTATGTGATATTCTTTGGTATTTTTGGCATATGGAATAAAACATGTTTTTGCAATATTTGATTCTTTTGAAGTTTACTCATCAAAGTTACAATTATATTCCCACAATTAAAGGTCGCATTGTTCCATTGTTTTTACTCTTGATTGGAATTTTAAATGATTTCCTACATACATACCTGTATGCACATACAGCAATACAAAATATATAGGGAATTTTATGATATTTGCTTATGAGTGGAGAAATGTGAAGAATGGAATGCAACGCCAGAAGGGAAAATTCTGGAATGATAATAGGATGATAATGATTTCAGGGCTCCTGAGTTATTGTCATGTTGATAATAGTCGCTTTAAATAAATTGATATTTATGTATAAAATCCTGTAGGCTAGATGTTATTTTGAAGTCTGGTTTGACCAGCTTGTAACAGTATTGATAGGCATTGTTTGTGTTATTAAGAGCAGAGTAGATGTACATGTACATTATTTTAACAAGTGCCTGGTATCGTCCTTATAAAACACTCTGCTATTAGCCGTCCAAATATTACTTCATTTTATTTTATGATACTTCATAAGTTGGTTGACACTATCATCTTGTCAGGTTATATAGTTTGTAAAAAATACATCAGGGAACACTATTGCCATCCTTGGTCCAAGGGTATTTCACTTCTTTCCATAGATGCTGTATTGCAGTGAAGCTTGATCTTGTAGGATGAACTATTGCATCAAGCCCTTGTTACATACTGTTTTCAGGAGAATTCATACAAGATTACATTTACATTTTTGCAAAAAAAATGTTCACAGTTAAACAGTGGATCCCTTATTAATTGGATTTAACGTGTTTTTAAAAAGTTGCTTCTTGCTCCTGATATAAACCTAAAGGAAGATGTTTCTAGTTTATAATGCACCTTGTATGCAATTTGTCAAAATGAAACCACAATGGCCTTCATCTGCTGTATGTAAATGATATATCACTTTAGAGAATAGCTCTATTATAGGATAGGTTTAACAATAGCATTCCTAAGCCGACATACTTCTATTGTAGAAAAGCTATAAATGCTATAAATATGTCATTGCACATTTCATAGTATTTTGCACTTTGATTTCTCAGAATTAAACGGACATTCCTGGCCAGACAATTTCTATCCTGATATGATAGCTATAATCATATATATATACTATCCATATTTAGCAAAACAAGGGGAAAAGAGTATGATTCCTTTAAATAAATAAAATGCAAGATTTGAACCTCTTCTGAACTCTTTCAAAAAAAAAAAAAAATTATGTTTTGATAATGCAACATAAATGGAAAGCAGAATAGCTACAAGTCAGTTTGCTAAGTATCAGAGTCAAGTATATTGTAAGAGAAGCAAAACCAAACTATAGAATACGTTATCGATATATGGACTGCAATGCACAACGTGTAAGATATTATAATTGAATATATGTGCATTGTAGTACTTAAATACTGCAAAATGCAGATTGAAATGTCTATATGCATTGACCTTAGCTAGCATATAGCAAGGTTCAGGTATGTAGAGTTGACAAGAAATGTTGGAAGACATACCAACACAAAGCTCAAGCCAGAATCTGCTGTAGGCTGCATATAATGCATAGCTAACATTTTTGCTAGTCTGCAGTTTTCTCAGCATCCAAGTTGGTTATCTAGCTTTCATGGATGGCTCAGATTTATTATGAAGTATTTAGTTCATTCATTCTGAGGATAGAATATTTTGCAAGCCTATCCTTTCCCTGTCTCTGTTTAGCATTTCCATTGAAATACTCTTACATCAATATTCGGGTTCCCCCAATGTAAACTGTTGCATTGTATCACCTGTGTCATTTTTATCATTGATGAATTGTTTTTTTTGGTGACAATATTTATTGCAATATTTACGTATAAGCGTTATATTGTGATTGCAGGTGATTGACAAGAGGGGGGTGGAGTATATTCTCCAGAGTATGCCAGCGATACACAGAGACCTCAGGGGAATGTCACGCACAGAGGCACAGACTCAGTACATCCGGGAAGTGTCTATGTCACCAGCGGCACACAACCTACACTTTTACCAGCTGCGGAAGAGGAAAAATGACCCATTGCCAAACTTGTGGATGGGAATTACATCAAAAGGCATTGATATTTTGGAGGTAAATTGCTTATTTTAAATATTCTGGTTTTTGTGAGTTCTTAGAAAAGTTGTTGGGATGATTCCTAATGATTTTCTCTGGGATACAGGTATTTTAAGAAAATTGTATTATGATTAACCTTATGATAGAAATGTTATTCACAATTACAAAAAGTTTTATACTTACTTTAACCTTTTATATTAATATTTCCAGGAGTCACGCAATGGGTTCAAAGATACAATATCCTCTCTTCTCTGGCCCTCTATAGGGAAATTAAATTTTGTTGTAAGTATTAAAATTTTCCTACTAAATATATTCATATTTCAGTTTTAATATGTGTATATGGTTTTAAATCAATTTCATCACCTATCTAAGCTTACATGAAAAAGTCCATTTTGCTGAGGAAACTTAAAAAATTGGATTTTTCTTAAAAATGCTTTATATTGCAGAAAATATTTTGAAATGTCTTCAAAATCAAATTCATTTCTTTTTTCAGAAAAAGAAGTTTGAGATTCGAGTAGTTGGTAGTAGTCAGAAGTATATTTACTACACTGGTAGTGATGAGAGGTCCAAGTACCTGCTTTCACTTTGTATTAACACACATGTCTTCCACATGACAATGCAGCATAAACTAGCAGAACTGAGGCACCTACAGGCAGAAGGTTAGTTTATGTAACTGATGCATTTGATTATTCCATTTACACTGACTTATATGTATGTCTTAGAATACATTTGTTATAGTGATATACTTGATTTTTATGTCACCATATTGTTATAGTCTCAAACTTTTTTGGACAATGTTTGGCGCTTGGTGTTGGCATTCAGCTATCAGTGAACAGCATCTGTAACAAATTGCAGGTGGTGACATTTTGCTGTTAAAGCCCCATAGATATTAAAGTATATACATGTACATAGTTACTATTATTGAAAAAGATGTAATAGTGGCTTGATTTCCTTCACAAGTTTGGTTTGTGCTCTCTCTGTTAAATAACTTCAGTAAGAAAAGTAATCACATTGGAGGTTTCTTCTCAAAAATATTGCATCTCACAATTTCTGGATTTTAACTGCATTTTACAGAGTGTAAAATTAGAGGTATCGTAGAAGTCAGCTGGGTTCAAATTTTGAATTGATAAAGTCAAATTATTGTTCCAAATGCATATTTTCCTCATTTTTTATTGGAGAATATGATACATATCTTGAACCATCATTTGTGTTATCTCAAATGAGTTATTTATTGTTTTTTAGATCAACGTCGCTACAAGGAATCTTACATCTACAGTGACCCTGTAGATCTCGAATGGGAAAGAGAACAGACTTCTATACATGGTGCCCTTAGTGTCTCGCTGGTGAACTGTAGTACGATCGATCGTAAGACGAAAGCCGACCAGCGTATTTCTATCATCAGTAACTCGAGCTCTAATACAACTTCTGGAATCGTCAGTGATAGAATGCACATCAGCTTTGATGATAGTAGTGAAGGTGAGGAATATATGAACTTTGTGACTGATTCATACATTGAATTTACAAATCAACTTAGATCACCTGTATAATTGGCTTAGAAATGTTCAAAGTTCCTCTATTGTTTTATTCAAAGCACCGTTTGGAAGTAACTTGATGTGAACGATGCACAAAATCATATTATCTTATCCTTATGATATTTTCGATTTATGAGTGTCTTTCTATTCGTGTCATTCAAAATTCTAATTTTGATACATGTATCAAACAATACTGTACAATACAATATAATACAATACAATGAAATGCAATGCAATGCAATACAATACAATACAGTACAATACACATTTTCCATCAGGTGGTGAGAGGGACATTGAGGTTTACCCCGGAGAAATAATGATCACAGCACCCCCTGGTGGCCAGGTCAGATTATCATGTGGGAGTCGCAACAGTAAAAAATCAACAACAGGTATGTACAGTTTAGTACCAGGCAATGATGACAGTTTACTTGCCTTTTTTCTCTGTTGGATGTCATATGTATTAATGATGATTTGTATATATGTGAAGGTCAATTTAATTAACATAACGGGTATCTCGGAAATTTTGGGACCTATAATGTGTTGGAAGGCATTGAACTTTTAGTACCAATATAGATACTCAACTGTAACTTGATGAATACTCATTTCATTGTTTGTATTGTGTCACGATTTATATCCATCTTTGTTGACTTTGACTGTTTGTTGTTCCAGGTACCAGTGGTCAAAGTTCCCCAACTGATTCTAAATCTGGTGATCTAAAAGTACGAGGGAGCAAATTACTTGACAGTGGCATAGGCCAGGGTGGTAGAATCAGCCCTAAGGGGAGTGGTGGTAAAGGGGTACAGCAAATACAGGCCCCAGCCCTGCCTGCGAGAAATGGCAATGGGCCAAGGAGGACAAATTCTGGGCCAACAAGGGTGCCATCTGGGCCTAAACGGGTCGGTTCTGGTCCTCGTCTTGTCACACCCACCAAACCACCACTAGAGGGAGCAGTAGGTGGTGTATCCATGGCAACCACTGGGGAGTACAGTCCATCTACCGTAACAGCCGCAATGGCTGCCCAGTCTGTGCACACAAAAATCGTAACAGCCAGTAGCAATCTCCATGACATACAAACTCACATTGTAAACAGCGTGCCAGTTGCGAACACTGTCAAAATAGTTGATGCAGATAATGAACATTTTTATGAAAATTTGCCCTATCATAAAAACAAAATGGAATCAAATGCAGTTATCCGTGACTTTTGTATGCCAGTCCATCTCAGCCCTACCAATTCTCCACCATACTCTCAAATACCTCACAGCAGTCCCCTGAAGCTGTTGCCTAGCAACACTACCCAGGTCGTGGCTGATGTTCATCCCCTGCCAAAACCCATGATGAGTAAAACAGTACCAAAGATGGGGGTATCGAATCTATCTCCAAAGAGTGTCACCAGCAGTATAGTGTCTTCATACGAACTCCCACCCACCCAGGTTGCCTCAAGCTCCTATATTGGTCATCCTATAAACCCAGTGGTGCCTAACACAATTTCTGACAACCCATATCTGAACCAAGGTATCCCTACTACACATGCAGAGAATCTTCATATTAACCAAGCTGTGCCCATGAGCAGTAGACAAGACACTCAGTACATCATTCAAGGTATGCCTAGTGACAACACATATCTAGCAAACTCTGGAGTGCCCAGTTCTTTACCAGAGTATGATCTGAGTAGCCTTAAGCAGGCTCTACCAGTGTACCAGGTTATCCAGCCAGGGGCTCCTAATATGAACCTGGTAGGGGGTAATCAGTACCAAACCCAGCAGATGAACCTAGGGCACCAGGGGATAGACTCTACCAATATGTCATTGTTACCATACAACTACACAGATATAAGCGCTGAAGCCCAGGGCCTTAAGCCAGTCAACTGCCAGCCTATACCCCTCCCCCCTCCCCCTGAGTACCCTGGAACTAAATCTCAACCTCAGGCAGCACCCCAGGTGAACCATCTGGCACCCCCTACACCTCACCCCCAACCACAAAATCTCGCTGTACCAGCAATGACAAAGAGCCAAGGCCTGACACTCACACACAACTCACTTCTTGCACAATTTCAAGCCTCTAATGAACTGCAACGTCGACCAGCGGGATCGAAAAGAAAGGTAAATGTTTGACAATGTGCCAAAGTTAAATACACGCATGCTTACCTCCTTAAGATTCAGTTCCTTGCAACAAAATCTTACCAAAAATCATCCAACAATGTCAAAGTGAATCATATGAGTATAAAATGTAGTATAAAATTGAATGGAGATAATTTCCATATAATTATACAGTGTTGCTGTTTCAGTGTTATAATGAATTCAGGAAGGAAATTGTAATAGCCAACTAAAAGTTTTGATGATATTTTTCAGATACACAAAAATAGTGACCCACTTCATGAACACCATCGTAGGCACAGGAAACATGAACCACGTTACAAATCAGATCTGTCTAACTCCTCAAGCGATATGTCTGCTTACGTCGCGAAACAACAGCGATTCGATGCAAAAGAGAAACTCCATCCTGACATTGCCCAGTTACAAAAGAAAAATGTATCTGTGCCACTTTTGACAGCCTTGTGTAATGATCCTTCGTTATTCTCTGAGCCGTTACTTACCCAGAATGCATCTGTGGAGAAATCGTCAGATGAAAAACAGACTAAGGTGGCACCACAAAGGAACACTGATTCTGCGAATCCTGGGACAACTATGGTATCTGAGCAGTCACTTCAAAATGCTCGGCCTGTTTCCTGGCATAGTGAGACCTTTAATTTCGACCCAAGCCTGCATTGTGGCACCCCTCAGCAAAATGGACAATCCAGCAGTTATGATGGCCAAGAGCTGCCTTATGGTGACTATTTGCTACAGCAGCATTGTGACCCAAGTCAGACTTCTCTCCCATTGAACCAACTGATTGCTAATGGCTACGGACATTTACTAGGCAACCAACTAATACCATACTCCCTACAGAATGGTAACCATGGTGATATTCCTATGCCTCAAATCAGACAGAAGTCTTATGGAGAGAATGTCATGGCTTAGTTAATAAGAAGTGCAAACGGTGTTATAATCTCACATTAAGGTAGCCTTACGCGAAGTTGATTGTTGAATATTTCTTTTTCAGCTTTTTGTCTACAGCTCTTGAACTCAGAATTGACTATAATATAATGCAAAAGTGGGATTCTCTTTGAGGTATGAAATTTCAGCAATTCTTTTTAGAAACACATATTTTTATTGCATATGGAGTTGTTTTTATTATTTTATTATCGTACCCATAGACACATTAACTGATGTACCATGTATTTATAAACAATATTATTATATTCCATATTACACTGTGTATAATTAACAGTTTGATTTTCTGAATTAGTATTTATATCCCTGTAATATCCCACATACATAATCAAGATATTAAAATACTATACAATATTTACGCTGAGTTATAGTTATGTTTTGTGGGAGTTCAAATATTTCTTGAGATTCAAGATGAAGTAGATGATGAAATGGTTACCCAAATTATGAACTTCAAAATAGATCGTAAAGTCTTCCAAATTGTGATCTTCCAAATATTCAAGTTCATATAATTTGACCTATGTGTTTTAGAAGATATTGTGATTCAGATATATCCCTCCGAAGCTTAGTGGACGGGAGACACATTCCATGTCTCAGTATTGATTATTGAGGCAACTTCCATATTGAATAATTATTGAGTCCACGGTTATACAATTGGTTTGAAAATCCTGGATGTTGATAGCAATTTTGTCACCCCTTATACCTATTATTCTAGCTTTAAATGAAAATATGAGAATAGATAATAGCTATGAGGTACGATTTATAATTTCATGTGGATAAGGTAAATTGTTTTTACATTTGGTTAAAATGAATAAACCTTGTTAAGTAAATAATAAAATGATTATTAGCAGATGTTTATTCATTTGACTTGTGGAGAAAACAGTTTTGAGATCTGAAAATAGCACTTCAGATTTCAGTTGAAATTGATGCTATTTTTTTCAGGTATAATCCATTTGAGAAATACATATATGACGCATGCTATAAGGGTGTATATCAAATTGCATTTATTAGAGTGCCTTATATAATATATCAACATGCTTGTAATATTATTATGTATCTTAAATATGTACAGGGCAATATTTTGCCATATATAGAGGCATTTAACATGGTGCCTAATGCAGGTGAAAATTCCTGTATTTTACTATATTTTTCTATCTGGTGAGACTGAGTGTATGAGATGTGCAAACGCAATTGAAAGTGTGGAAAATCTGGCAAACGGAATTAAGTTACAGTTATACATATTACTTTTGATATTTTAGAATTCAATACACTGCATATGTTTGATTGAAGCCTATAAAATGCTTTAATAGAAAAATATATTCTACTCATATTATTATATGATATCTACATGTATTTACTATTAAAGTATATGACAACTTGCATATTATACAATAATGTACTATTGGTGAAAACATTAGGATTGTTTTACTTCGTAGAAGTTATAAACAATTTATTATAAAATATCTCTGTACAATGTATTTATTTCTTGTATATTTTTAACTGTAAATAGTTCTCTCTAACAATGCATATGCTTCAATCTATATTTATTAAATGGCCTCTGAAGGAGTCACACGTCTTTCTGTATTTTCTTGGCTGATGTATACGTTTTATGAGATTAGAGGTACAAATAAGGGTTTTTAAAAACTGTGAGTTTTATACTGATAAGTCAAAACAGAATGGCCTAAATAGAGAAATTCTTTGAATTAAAATTGAAGAGATCTTTTTAGATTTGCCCTCTTGATAATTTTTGACATGAACTTAGAAATGGGGAACTCATGTGCTCTCCTTACAGGGGTAGTTTTATTTTATGTAATTAATGCCAGTATATCGGGATATATTGTATGTGTGATGCATGGAGACTGGATATTAGAACCTTGTAACATTGGTAGAAAATAAAAAATTGCCAAATAGAAAATACTCACAATGCATGAATACATTGAAAATCTACCTTTTAAGAATGTGAACGTGGAAGTTAATCCAGTCTTCAGTTTATGATAACCCTGTGTTTTGGTATCCCTGATTGGTTGACTTAGGTCATGTGATATAAACAGTGCATTGTGGGAAAGAACTTTCATTTGATGTTGGAAATACAGGGTGATCAAAGTGGATGAATGAGTGATAAAAACTAATGAATCAAGCATAATTTAAATTCTACTTGCACTTGGTAAAGGTAGACCCAATGTTATATGATAAATGTACCTTTCTGCTCAAAATAGACTGTATGATTGGCTCATATATTGTATAGGGTATGAAATAAATTAAGAAAAATAAATTCATATTTTGTTTCTGTATTCCCCAGGCCCTGTTGTAGTAGTAACCTTATGAAAATTGACAAAAAAGGCTTAAAACAAAGGATATTTTGAGGTGTTTCACAGGTACAATAACCCTGCTGTTTAACAAGACTCCTGTCCCAATCTCTGTCTATTTTCTTCTCATGACTTGGATGTGTCAAAAATTTGGCTAAAATGTATAAAAACAAATATTTAGCACTGGAAGTCTGGCACTGCTGGAATTACACTAGATTCTTGACAACTTGCTTGGGAAGCATACTTGAATGTATTGTGGAGCTTAAGTTATTTTATTTAGCCTTGCACAATCCAGTCTTGCCAATCTATTCCTCCATCAGAAAACCATGATGTATGATCAAGTTGATCTCCTCGGTTTAGATTCACCCACACATGATTTAAGGGATTAAGCATGAGTACTTATGTCATAAAATGAACTAACATATCACACTCATATACTTTGTTAAAACTTTATTTTTGATGGTATAAAAAACTAAAGATTTCCGATACAATACAAAATGGCACATGATGTGAATACAAAACAGACATGCTTAGTCAGCATCTCTGGAATGACTGCTAGGAAATATACATATACATATACAGTAGAACCAGTAAAGTGGAATGACTAAGTTGAACACTAAAAAGTCCACTTATCGATGTAAAACACTATTTTGAGGAATTGAAAATGCTCTACTCTACTAGTTTTAACTTTGACTGTTCATGGAAATTTAACGTTTAATCATGGAATGTATGTAGAACATTAGTAAAAGTAAAAACCTTAAGGCTAAAATTAGGACCATGATTTCAATGAAATTCAAGCAAGGACTTCAAAGCACTAGAGCATAACAGCACTCAGTGTATGCGTATATTACTTCTTCCAAACAATATTATTGATCAGAAATAATATGATTAATCAGTAAATGATCATATCCATCATCAACGATATTTTCCATGATCAATTAGATTATTCATAAGCAATCTGATGTTTCACATCTTTCCTATTCATGCATGATAAATATGATCGAATAAATATATGGGTCAAATTCAGATCAAATATTAGTCACTTACAATCTAAATATACAAATATATTCTAATATATACATCATACAATTATATACAAATATATTTACCATTTCTTGTATACATAGTTCATAGTACAATAGTACAAAAGTCATATAAAATGTTGGTGATTTTCCTCCCAAAATATTCAGATCTAAGCCTTCTTACATTCAGTCTTTTATTTTAATATATACAATGAATTGTATACCCCTTGTCTATCAAAATTAAATTTGAAAAATGGAATGAGTTTTGGAACAATATGAATGTAAACATTATAAAATATATTTTACACCATGATACCATTACTTCAGGTAACACCAGGGAATATAACTGATATGAAAAAATTGTATTCACCTGATCATTCCCATTTACCTGGTCATTCCCGTTTTCTTATTCTCTGACATTTTTAAGTTTCCTCATTATCCATAAATTTTTCATGAAAATTATGCATTATTTTTTACAATTTGATTCGATGAGTTGTTTCAATATACCTTGATCAAAATGATTTTGGTCTTCAGTATAAAACCCATATCCAATCCCTCCAAGTAAATAATCTCTACATACACAAAACAGGGTTGGCCAAAAAATATGCCAACAAGTTAGAGAAATTAATCTATATACATTGTATACAGCACCTTGATATACAGATTTAAATGTTATTGGGTTTGTATTTCTACAAAACACTAACCCACGAATAAACTGGAATGATATGAAGATTCATAAACTACATTTATGACAGTATAAGCCATGGACTGCTGACAGTCTAAGTAGCATATAAGTAATTGACAGTTCCTACTGTACTTACTGCGGTGAACACTCGAACTTTTGAGAGAAAAATATATTTCAGAGAAAACTAAAAAGCAAAAATATGTTAAATATATGTGTCTCCTACATATGTACATCAGGAGTTCAATATTTGTAATATGATTGAACGTTTTGTACAAAAGACATGTATTCATGTAATTTCTCAACAGACCTTTCAAGAAAGATGTCTGTTTTGTACAAAGACACTATTCAGGCATGAATGATGAAGCTGCATTGGATATTTGAGGTAAAATGCAGCATCGGTTATATACATTATGAGCATAATTACAACTTGTATTTGAAATGCATGGACATTCATAATAAAACACATATAATAGCAAAAGCAGATCTTTTTCTTCACTAAAAATAAAACAGAAATTTGAGATTTCTAAAGAAAAAGTATAATCCACTTTTTGAACATAAAATATAAACCAGATCTCATTTTCTTCACTAAAAAAACTGAGATTTCCAAAACTATGAACGAAACATAAATCAGATCTATTTCATTTCTCAAAGAATTCTTTCTTTTTGATTTCTTATTGAGCGATTAAGTGTCACTTTACACAATTCGTAACTTGTAAATGCAATACCCTTAAAGCTACAACCATTCAGTACAAAATATATGTAAACTACATAATATAAAATTACCAATGTGACCCATTCCATCAATCACTGGTACAATACAAGATCATACTCTAGTTTCCATGGTAGCATCCTCTCATCGATGGGCTTCAAGATGCAGAATTTGAGTTTGGAGGATGCCACTGTTGCAGTGATACAAAGATTGAGTGTGATTTGAATATAACCAGATAAAGAATGCAATGGATAACATATGTAACTCTATTCCATGGTACACAGTAAAACCTGTGTATGTAAACCTAACCTGAACACCTCAAAATGTGATCCCTTTTAGGGAGATTGTATTGAGTTTGAGTTTATCAAATAAAGTGCAAATGTCCTTATATGCCTTCAATATGACCACAGTCAATTCAACCAGTGCTCAACCATATGGGACTAAAATCTAAACAACATATGAGCCAGGCCACAGGAAAAGGGGTCTTATCACAGATTTTTCAATATTCCGATTTTTTATTTATCTTAAAAACACAAAGAGACCTTTCAAATGAGCCATGGCTTGTGTCTTAACAATTTTTCCTTGCATATATAAACTAATAAGTCGGATTTGAATTTAGCACATTTTCCTCTAAATCTTGGGCACATTTTTGGCTCTGTAGCACAATTTCAATTTTTGTGATGAGACCGGTTTTCCTATGGCCAGGCTCATATGTTGATTAAATGTTTTAATTTCCCTCCTGCCAGATTCTGAATCTTGAAAGGTGTTAATTTGTAGATTGTATGACAATTGTAACATAAGCTAGATGAGAGGACACAATGATCAATATTGACATTAGACTCTAACTGAATGCCATCCTTTAAACTAACACTTTAACAGGTGTTCAATGTACCAGGTTTCACTGTAAGTATATATCAAGGTACACCTATGGTTCAAAGGAGGCAACTATACCCTGGCCAGGTTTAAGAACAAACTCTCTCATTTCTTGATTTGTGCCATTATACAACCCTTTAGAGTCTGACAAAATATAGATAACATCTTCAGTTATACTGACAAAATCACGCTTTCGATCATAATCCAGTTGAAGATTCAATGCAGAAAAATATGTCAGCTTTCGTGGAAATGTCCGCTTAATAGTGAGAATTTCATGTGTTACATAAGGGAATGAGAATCCATTTGCGTAACCTGCAAGACTGCTATAACCTTCGGTCTTCAATGCATACTCGACTTTACGCTTGTTGATGATGACTGAGTATGTTGTAACATTGGCATCTGGGCTATTCTCATTGAACGGCTTTGTATTTGTAATTTCTCCGGATGGCCATGCCAGCATTCTCTCTTCCACTGGACGTGTCTGCAATTCAAGGAGGTTGGTGTGATAGAAAAGTAAAGTGAAGATAGATCAATAATTCTTAAGAGTGCATTCATTCAAATGTCCATTCAAAATATAGGCCTTGGTAAAACTGAAACCTCGGAACTCGATTGCTTTTTGATTCTATGTATGAGAAGGACAGACATTTGAATAACTCAACAACATTTTTTGTTTGCTGTAAAAACAGAAGTTTAGCAATAGTATACACACGATGAAAATCAACACTGCTATTATAACCACTATACGGTACCATGTTAATCCCATCCCTATGATGACCATCAACATTGCAATTTTCATGACAAGCATCACAGAATCAAAATTCTGAATCATGTTAATTATATACCCATGATGAGCATTAACATTGCAATTTTCAAGACAAGTACACAGAATCAAAATACTGAATTGTGTTAATTATATACCCATGATGAGCATCAACATTACTATTATCATGACAAGCATCATAGAATCAAAATACTGAATCATGTTAATCATATACCCATGATGAGCATCAACATTGCTATTTTCATGACAAGCATCATAGAATCAAAATACTCAATCATGTTAATCATATACCCATGATGAGCATCAACATTGCAATTTTCATGACAAGCACCATATTATCAAAACACTCACCATGTTAACCTCATCCCCCATGATGAGACAAGGGGTTCCAGGGAGGGTAAGTAGGAAGAGAACCATGGCTGGGTGGTGGGCAGGGTAGGGGCTATATGTCCAGGGCTCCAGGTGGAAACTGATCCAAGGCTTATCCTTGGAACTATGGTAAGCTAGACCTAAAATCAATTCAATAAATTCAGTAAAAAAATCTGGAGAGACCTTCCATATTTTTACTTCTAAACAGCTTATGAGCAACTGTTGAATTAAGAAAAATGGGTCAACAACAAATAATGTTAGTCACTCTTGTTTTATGTTCACCTTTGTCTTTGCAACAAGTTTCTTTTTTACACTGAAAAACATTTCTCTTTATCATATCAAAGTTTAAATTTATAATTTTGAAAGTCAACCTTTTATTGCAATTTAAGATTTACTTTTAGCTTACCTTTATTGATTTCATCAACGAGAGGGTAAGTGGCATTTGCTATAGAGGTCAGAGTGAGTGGCACATCAATAAGTTGTATGTATGGCAAGAAGTCATCTGGTGTAACCTGGAATTAATAATATTTTCCTTGCATATAAGAGTGGATGATCTTCCATGAATTTTTCTTAACTAAGGGTGAAATTCTCAATTTCCCTTTTCTAACTTGTTAATATGGAAAAATGGAAAAAACCACCACCTGGTAAGTGATTGGAAATGGTTACAAAAGCGTAACAATTGTTATAAATGCCAATGCAATCAAAAATATGTCTCCTTGGTGGTGACATTAGAATTGGTCGAAATAAAATAATCGGACAAAAAATCCAAATTTGGTCACTGTATACATCTTCTCAAAAAAACAAAAAAAACATATGCCTGCAACTTACAGTTGTTTTTATAACAGAATTCCTCACTGAATCCAAGAACAGTGAACTTAGCACAAAGATCTTTGCTGTATCACTCTCTCCATCTACACCAGCTTTCCATTCTTTGAAGATAGTCAATAGTTTCACCCAATCTGTTTTGGGAGTGTTGAGCCTCTGGTCCTGGAACATCATATTCTCAAGCTCCAAAAAGTAGAATCCATCTATACCTCTCTCCAACCAGTATGCAAGAGCCTGCTTCATTCTATTCCTCACCTGGATTTATGAAAAGCAAGTATATATAAAATGTGACTGTTAAAATAATGTTCAGACATCATAAATGATATCATGCTACTTTGTTTAACATGTAGATTTAATACTTTCTTTCCTTTTAAGTTTCTTGGTTTATATTCAAGCTTTAATTCATCTTTGTGTCTGGGGGAAAAGGGGATATATATAAAACAGTAAGAAACTAGGATTAAGATCACATATTTCTGTTTTTTACACATACTATTTAATATGTTGGTATTCAAATATGCACACTGTACAAAGTAGAGACCATAACAACGATTACAACATGACACCATTTACTAATGAACAAACACATGTGGCATTTTATCCAAATCAATAACATTTTTCTTATATATATTCTAACATGATTCAATGTTGTTATTGTCCTAAGTAATTCTTTACATAAATGGTTCAAAAAATATTGCTTAAACTTTTCATATAAGGCCTACGAAATATGATACCCAGAGTCACAAAGGAAATGTAATGTAACATTCAAATGAAGAAGGATGTGACAGTAATCTAGATTTGAAGATCAAATGATTTCTCATATCGCCATTAAATTCCCTTAATCAAGCAATGCAAAGCAATTTGCTTTCAATGAATGGTTCGACAGGTGACAACAAAAATGCACTTTTTAAATAAGGTGTCAACTTACCGAAACTTTGTCAAAGTTCAGCAGAGCTTTGTTGGGTTCGTTTGGTATGTGACGATAATACGCATTTCTGTATTCATTGTAGGACCAATCACTTCCCGGTTGCTGGAGAAAAATACATATTTACAGTGTTAAATGCTCAAGTTGGAATTTAAAGAATCAATGAGATAAGAAAGTTCCTTAAGAAAGTTCCTTCAATTGACCATGAATTTACAATCATTGTTTCTTTGTTTTTAATTTCACTGAAAATTATGCACAACTAAAATAGCAAAATTAAAAAAAATATGAATATTTCCACCTATACAGTATTTGAAGATGGTAACAAAACTTACAAAGTATGAATCTTGTTTCCTCCAAAAGTAGTATGCACTGTACTCATTTCCCGAGAAGTCACTTTGCACCATACTCTGTTTGAACCATTTATGCTCAATACTTGTATATGGAGGCCTGAAGTCCATGATAACTCTGATACCTGAAATATATACCATCGGGAATACAATTTACAGTACCAGTGAATTGACATTTTGTAATTTAAAGTATTTTACTTCAGAGCTGCTAGTGCTGAATATATGCATGCAGATATATTGACATATTCATACCCTAGTTTATCCCATACTTGGACGTGTTTCAGGTATATAAAGCAGGTTTGTAAAAACTGAAATTTTCATCAGCAGGCAGATATAGCTTTATGTCTATAAAGGACTTACAGCCATCTGGCAGATATATTATATTGGCCTTGGGATAATCCTAATATCCTGGGGGTCATTAACAGAACCATCGCAACGTTACGAATTCGCAAGTCAATTGTTAATTTTACGAATTTGGTAAATGTGCATTAACAGAACTTTCGTAAAGTTACGAACGATTCGCAAAGTTACGAAAAAATGACGTCACATGTGCTTTCGTTCGTAACTTTAATAGCACCTCAGACCCTTTCATAACTTTGCGAATGGCATATTTCTCATCCAATTCTTATGTAAGGTATACAGGTTGGCAAAAAGAAATTGTTCTTTATATGCATGCTAAGTTTCAAGCTAAAATATTCACCTATTCTTACATGATAAGCAAATATGTTCCTGAGCTGGGAATCTTTGAAATCGCGGAGACAGGCTTAATCACAGCGCGCAATGATATCAAATGACATCATATTTTTATTTGTGCTAAATAATGATATAAGATGACGTCACAATTTGAAATTCGTTTACGAACGATAAAACTTATGAATGACTTACGAAAGTGTTCTGTTAATGGCCGATTCGTAACTTTATGAATTCGTAAATCATTCGTAACTTTTTAAATATTTACGAATTTCATAAAGTTACGAATTACGAATTCGTAACTTTGCGAAAGTTCTGTTAATGACCCCCTGAACCTCATATAGGATAATCTCTATATATACATGTGATATACTATTTAGTATTAATTCTATTAAATGCATGTAAAATACAAGTGAAACAGTAAGCCTATTTAGAAACTCAGCCAGGAGGCAAGGCATCCAATGAACAATTGGTTGTTGTCATCATATCAGACTGATAATGATACTTATTTTAAAAGTTTTGAGAAAAGAATTTGAAATGTTTATGCTATCCAATAACTTGTATTTAGATACCTTGGGTAAGACAACATTAACAATTATTTCCAATAGCGTTTATTATTATAAAAACTTACTAGCATATTAAGATAATTAGGGCCTATTGTTGTGGCAATGTTTGAAATAAATCTATTGTTTGTAATGAACTATTATATGACAATTAGCCTTAAAGTTATGCCAAACCATAGGATGACAAAGAGTCTCTGGAATAGAGGTGTTCGTACTGTAAAAGATCTTCAACCAGCTATAGGCCAGTCACAAGCCTGACAAGAGATAGCCAAGTTAACTCAAATCACCCATCAATCCATGAACAGTCCTATAGCTGTAGCAAAGCACTTGATGTTTAAACAATGACTGTATTGATTACAAAGAAGATAAATAGAAGTTATACCCAGGGAGGGATTGTATATTGGGTTTATCAAGAAGGATGATATGATATCCTCATGAGGGACCAGAGGGACTGAGTGATCGTGGTACATGTATAATGATAATTTTTGTACAGAATTAACATTTAAAAATTATGGACAAGGTCAATATTGAAATACATTTACCACACTCATAATTATGTTAGAGCAGGGAGTAAAACACCATTATTCTTTGTGAGTGTTCACCAATTTTCACAAACAAACCAACTTTTCATTTAAAGATATCAAAATACATGTTAAATTCCAAACGGAAATGATCACAAATCATGTACCATATTTAAGCCACAGTACCTTTCTCATGGGCGCCGCTGACCATTTCATTCAAGTCCTGTCCTCTCCCTATTACATTGTCCACGCTGTCGAAACTTAGTGGAGTACCATCATCATCTCTCTGGTAGAGATTAGACAGTCTAATGATTTCAATGCCAAGGTTAGATAAATATTGCATTTGGTTTGCAACACCCTTTAATTCCCCTACACCATCTTGGTTCTGAGAGTCGTAAAATCCACGAGGGTTGACATGGTACATGACGCCACCCTGCCACCATTGTAAGTTTGGGTGACACTTTGCACTCTCCAGGATTCCAACCCCTATGAGGACACCAATCAGAGCGATGATCCCGGCAAAGATGAACACGACCAAGCTCACACGAATCCAAACCCAAGGCCAATCATTGAAGCTGTATTCATCAAAATATAAGTCAGGCATTGACCTTGTCTCTGTGTATGCTATGGATCCAGCTTTACTGGTTCCTGAACGGTAATCTGGCCAATCAATGACAGGGTTCCCATATGTTGAACTACCACCATCATTAAAAGTGCTTGGAGGTCGGCTGCCATCTGTAACTGATGGGGTCCTGAAGGCAGCCACCGCTACTTCCACAGTACATGGGTTCAACTGCTCGCAATGCCTAAAATAACAAAAACATACTTTGTCAGTATTTGGGACAAAAAGAAATGTACTTCAATTTGTAATGTGAGACTTCTTTGGATAAGAACTTTAGCTAAGAAGTTTTCTTAAAAGAGATGAATATATTTTATGTAATCATCATAGATTCCAACCAGATCATCTGTATCTAGTAATTTAGTAGTGCTAAATGAGAATTCCTGGATATTTGGAGTATAACTTTCCATGACATTTAATGCAAAATTTGCCATAATAAATCACAGGTAGTAGTCAAACAGCACCTTCTTGAAATTATGCACGATCCGGGTAAAAATCACATACAGGTAGGTCATAAAACTGCATCTAAATCACAATTTACTATAATTGACCTATCTGTTTATGATCTATTAAGTGAAATCACACAGTTGAGATTTCAATTTGTGTGCAGTCTCACGAACAACCTAGACTTATTGAAGTATCCTAAAAGACACAGATGATGTGAAACACATTCCGCTAGCTGAATATACTAACAAGAATAAGCTAGGTCGATGAACTTACAAGAAAGAGCATTCGTTTTCAAAAAAAATTCCCAAATCTCACGACTTTTTACCGGAATGTGCGGATTTTGGAGGAGAGTGCTGTTTGATTACTCCCTGTGTAAATATAAATTACAATATTCATATTCAGTTTTATAAAACAAAACAAGTAGCAGCAGAAAGATGAATTGCTTACTGTAGCTCTGAATTATATATATATATATGTAAAATGTAAGATCTGTCACTGCGAGCATTATAATGAACATTCAGAAAGATGGTACTTTTTTCAAGAAATTTCCATTTTGTGTATATGATGGGCTTTCGATAGTTAGGTCTAGATCTTGAGCCGATCTTGAGTCTACTGGTAATTTAGCCTTATAAAAGACTCTCAATTTCTCGTTAGACTATTAGATTAAAATTTGAGATTTGAAATCAAATTGAGTCTTCTAGAAAAAGATAAGTGAGCGATAGCGAAATCTCACAAATGATGTGAAATAAAACTGGATATATATGTTTTAGTGAAAACGCAAAATAATGGTTTTCTATGAATCATAATTCATAACAAGGTAGATCATCTGTAGGTCAAATAAACAAAAATATTTTGAATTTTTTTACCATCCAATCACATTGATGTCACTCTCGGGTTCCGAAGCAGTCTGGCTCCCGGTGAAGTCTTCTTTGTGTGAATGTGGTGCAGTTCTAAACACAGAGTGGTCTGATTTATCAGTGTACCCAGTATATTGGGACAGCCTCTCCGACATTTCGAATAAAGCACAAATAAACTGGACCTAGATTTTAAAATTTTCAAATATGGCGATCACCAATCACTTCCTTATTGTAGTAAAGTAGCGAACGTTTAAAATTAAGCGAACGTTAATGGTCAACGTGTTATTAAGAATTCCTTACTTTGGAATTAACCATAATTAGGCTAGTATGATAAAATAATAATATAATCATTTGATAAAATTAGCTTGATGTTTTGTTCATCACTACAAACTTTTAAAATATGTGAAACAAACATTTGTCATAGATAACTATAATATTCAATTGTTCGGTGTTATGGTAGACTACAACTAAAATGGCGGCAGCCAGATTTGTTTCTGTTGATTATGAGGTGTTTGGAAGAGTTCAGGGTATGTTCTTTGTAATATATTTTGTACAAATAACATTTATTGACTCTTCTACCTTTTTATCGGGGAAAACACGTTATTTCTATATTTTCTGCTGGGTGACATTAGTTTTGAGAACCCGACTCTCAAAAATTAAAAAAATTCTTGTCAACTTTTGATTGCTTATTTTTTAAATTCAAAGTAGTTGGACTAACATTTAAAATTTAACTTTAAGCTTAGACGCCTACATCGGATAGACAGGTATAGAAACACCATAGATTCCAATTTGATCAAACATGTAGCCTACTACTATTTTTTTCATGGCCTGAGTTTGTCGCTAACATGCTAAATATAAGAGTTAGCTGACGTTTGGGAGTCTGACTTACCTTCTAAAGGTTAGAACCGGAATCTTAATGAAACCATATCACCCACCTTTGTTGCGTCGATGATGATGCATAAACACAGCATTCTCCCAAACGTCAGCTAGAGTCAGTACGTCTATTTCCAAACACCCCCATCAAAAAATGTAGTTAGCTTGGCTGTACTGCACATCTATGCTATGATTCTATATATATTATGTGTATTATCCATGGTAGAATGCATTTGCAGAAAAAATTACGAAAAATTGTAAAAAATATCTGGGTTATTCCATTTTTACTACAAGGTATTTCAGGGGGGTAATTCCGAACAGGAGTTTTTTTGGGGGGTAAATCCGAACACTTGCATGGGGGTAATTCCAAACACTTAACTTAAACTTAATTGTTTTAATTATTAGATTGATGGTATATCATTATATGATACCCTTAACTTATGATACTGGATCCTGTCACCCCTGCATATCAAGAAACCCAAATTTAAATCATTTATTACTGACATCTATTTATTTAAACGCACAGAGTTTGTGGGGGTAATTCCAAACACTAGCATGGGGGTAATTCCGAACACCTAAATCATCATAATTGATTATTTTATTGTAAGATTGTTGGTATACATCATTATATTATATCTTTCAGGCTATAAATATTATGTAGAGGTAGTAGAGGTACTATTATTCAATTCAATGATCTGCTTGCCATTATTTGGAACCCGTTCGTGTTTACCCCCCTGTTTGGATTTGGACGTATTGACTCTAACTCTTATATTTAGCATGTTAGCGACGAACTCAGGCCATGAAAAAAATAGTACAAATTGAGAGTTTGAGAAACTAGTAACGCCTAGCTGCACTACTGGTAAAGAGTGGAGATGTCAATGCGGCAGACTGACACACATGGCTGCTATCTTTTGCAAGACTTACGCCTGGCGTAACCGTCACCATGTTATTCAGTGTTTTTAAGTAGCGCAAGGATCCTGTCATGACCGTGGTAGCGTTATCGTGGAAGCCTGGTATATCCGGGACAACCCTGTATTATATTGCAAGGCCTGTCATGACCGTGGTAATGTTAAAGCCTGATATAACCGTCACAATGCTCGCAAGGCCTGTCATGACCGTGGTAATATTAAAGCCTGGTATGACCGTCATAATGATAGCAAAGTCTGTCATGACCGTGGCAATGTTAAAGCCTGTCATGACCGTGGAAAGGTTAAAGCCAGACCGTGACAATACGTGCAAGGCCTTTAATGACCGTGGTTGTATTAAAGTAGCAAGAGAACACCGTAATGACAATTTTCTTCATGTTTAACTACCTTAAATATGTAAATCAAGACTAATATACATGTACATGGTACTCATGTTCATTGATAAATAAAAATGTATATTAATTTCACAACGAAACACTCATTTTTAACTCATAAATAATTTGCGAACAAACTATATCTCTATTCTCATTCAAGAAGGTTCGATTCGAAAGCACATACTTTCTGAAATGATCAATCAAAAAGGTTAATCCATAGAAAACTAACAGCAATGGGCGAAACATGAAATAAGTCATAAATGTCATATAAAGAGGTCACGGTCGCGCCAGGCTTACACGATTACACTACAACGGTCATGGCAGGTATTGCAATATACAGCATTGTCGCAACAGATAGGGTCTCGCCTGACAGTTGCCCCTGGTTTATGAAAAAATACCGAATGCTGAATACCGTCCACCGACCAGTCACTCTCCACAGTTGGGTACACATTGTTGGTGGTCGGCTCTCAGTCTTTTACATAAAGATGAAAAGATGCAAAATTAGGAGTAAAACTAAAACTGAGAATCTAATGACAATACATGTACCTTTACAAGGTTGTGATTTAAAAATGTATTTAATCAATTCAAATCATAGGTAATTATAGGGTGTAGGTGTAGTTTTTAATAATTACTAACATTGAAGATCAGAAGTACCCTGCTCCTAGGATATGTTGTTTTCAATTTCATTCTCTTTGAGATGTACACTTTGTTTTCTAGGTGTGTTCTTCAGGAAATATACACAAAAGGCAGCCAAAGAGTATGGGCTGGTTGGATGGGTGAAAAACACAACTACAGGGACTGTGACAGGACAGGTCCAAGGCCCAAGAGATAAAGTGATACTCATGTAAGATCTAAATCTGTCAATACAAAAAGTTTAGAATTAAATTATTCTCAAGGTTTGAGTTTATGCTCCTTTAAGCTACCATTTGTTTTAGTTTGTGTTGTGTAGCATACTAATTCCTCTTGAAGGTCTCTTCTCTAGTTAATAAGGAATAAAATAGTTGTGTAATGTTTGATTTTGAATTTTAAATTTCTCCCTTTGGGCACCCAGTAGATATACTTTTTCTCTAAGGGATGAATCTTGTATTCAGACCATCAGACATCAAATGATTTTCTCATGTTCATTGTAATTTTGTTTTAACTAAAGATATTACAAGATTAGTTTTGAAGTTTTTTCTAGGAAACAAAAAGAGATAAAACAAAAACAATAAGAATCGAATATGCCTAGAACACACCTGTTTTGGAAAAGTTCCTCTTTGCTATCTGATTTCACCTTTAGTTTAAAGGCAGAATCAGATCTATGGGGTTGAAAAAATTACAAGCAATGTGTACAATTGACCTACCTATCTATTCCTTACAATCTCAAATACAATATCTCCCAAAAGATTCATGCTACGTTATAAATTGGTGAAGTTATAATGGATTATAAGTCCAAAAATGAGTGAAAAATGTTTAAATTCTCTCAAATAACTAGAGGTTTAAGATTGCAAGCAATCTTAAGGAGGCCCTGTAGGCGTTTTTGGCAATTTCAAGGTCAGCCAAAGGTCGAATCTCAAATCTAGGGTCATATATTAACACCAGGCGACTTGTAGATGATTTTTAAAAAAAAGTTTGGTCAATTTGAAGCAACTTGAAATTTAGTCTTGAAAAGTTTGGAAATTTGACCTTTTTTCAGTTTTTGAGTCCTAATATCTCAAAACTGGTACACAATTTTAATAAATAGTCAATTGCTAATATGTGTAGAACCTATAGAGGAATATATATCCTGACTTTCATGAACAAATATTGATTTGTAGTCACCAAAACTTAGAAACTTCGAAAACACAGTTGGTGATTTAATTTGAAGACTTTGACCTTTGATCTTGCAAATTTTACTTTAATTGACCTCAGTTGGTCTTTTGTGATCAAATATACCTAAATTTGAATCAAGAAAATCGATTTAAAAAATCAACTTTTTTTACCTTCCGAAGGTCACTGAAGGTCAACCAAAGGTCAAAGGTCAAAAGTAAGGTCAGATTTGGATTCCTGAGATCTTGTAGATGCTTTTTAAAAAAAAAGTTTGGTCAATTTAGAGCAAGTTGAAATTTAGTCTTGCAAAGTTTCGAAATTTGACCTTTTTTTCAGTTTTTGAGTTCTAATATCTCAAAACTGGTACACAATTTTAATAAATAGTCAATTGCTAATATGTGTAGAACCTATAGAGGAATATATATCCTGACTTTCATGAAAAAATCTTGATTTGTAGTCACCAATTTTGAGAAACTTGGAAAACACAGTTTGTGATTTAGTTTGATGACCTTGACCTTTGACCTTACAAATTTTACTTTTTTAGACCTCAGTGGGTCCTTTGGGATCAAATATACCTAAATTTGAATCCAGAAAATCAATTTGAAAAATCAACTTTTTTTACCTTTCGAAGGTCACCAAAGGTCAACCAAAGGTCGGAGGTCAAAATTTAGGACATATTTGAGTTCCTGAGATCTTGTAGATGATTTTAAAAAAAAATCTGGTTCATTTGAAGCAAGTTGAAAAATGACCGATTTTTGCCGTTTTTTGACGTCAAATATCTCAAAAACGGTAAAAAATTAACGCGTACATATTGTGAGCAATTTGTAGAGAATGCTTATATCTAGTTACATTTTAATTCATCGCAAGAAATAATGAAGTATGAGGACGAAATCTGAGAAACTTAAAAAAAAATTTGATTTGACCTAGATTTTGACCTTTGACCTTGACCTAGATAAAAAGTTCTTTCCCCCAAGTTCAGCCAAGGTCCCTGAAAGGTGCATGTAGGAGATGGTTGAAAGGTAGTTGGAAGTAGGAGAAAAGGGTTTAGGAAGAATAAAGAATAACTAGAGGTTTAAGATTGCAAGCAATCTTAAGGAGGCCCTGTAGGCGTTTTTGGCAATTTCAAGGTCAGCCAAAGGTCAAATCTCAAATCTAGGGTCATATATTAATATATTAACACCAGGTAACTTGTAGATGATTTTAAAAAAAAAGTTTGGTCAATTTGAAAAATCAACTTTTTTTTACCTCCGAAGGTCACTGAAGGTCAACCAAAGGTCAAAGGTCAAAAGTAAGGTCAGATTTGGATTCCTGAGATCTTGTAGATGCTTTTAAAAAAAAAGTTTGGTCAATTTAGAGCAAGTTGAAATTTAGTCTTGCAAAGTTTCGAAATTTGACCTTTTTTCAGTTTTTGAGTTCTAATATCTCAAAACTGGTACACAATTTTAATAAATAGTCAATTGCTAATATGTGTAGAACCTATAGAGGAATATATATCCTGACTTTCATGAAAAAATATTGATTTGTAGTCACCAAAACTTAGAAACTTGGAAAACACAGTTTGTGATTTGGTTTGATGACCTTGACCTTTGACCTTGCAAATTTTACTTTTTTAGACCTCAGTGGGTCCTTTGTGATCAAATATACCTAAATTTGAATCCAGAAAATCAATTGTAAAAATCAGTTTTTTTTACCTTTCGAAGGTCACCGAAGGTCAACCAAAGGTCGGAGGTCAAAAGTAAGGACATATTTGAGTTCCTGAGATCTTGTAGATGATTTTTAAAAAAAATTCTGGTTCATTTGAAGCAAGTTGAAAAATGACCGATTTTTGCCGTTTTTTGACGTCAAATATCTCAAAAACGGTAAAAAATTAACGCGTACATATAGTGAGCAATTTGTAGAGAATGCTTATATCTAGTTACATTTTAATTCATCGCAAGAAATAATAAAGTATGAGGACGAAATCTGAGAAACTTAAAAAAAACTTTGATTTGACCTAGATTTTGACCTTTGACCTTGACCTAGATAAAAAGTTCTTTCCCCCCAAGTTCAGCCAAGGTCCCTGGAAGGTGCATGTAGGAGATGGTTAAAAGGTAGTTGGAAGTAGGAGAAAAGGGTTTAGGAAGAATAAAGAATAATAACTAGACATTTAAAATCGCCACGGGGGCGATTTCGTAGAATGCCGTTCCTCGCCGCAGCAGCAAATTCGGTGCACAATTGACCTTTTTCAAGGTCACGCAGAGGTCGAATTCTAAAACCACAAGCATATTTAGAATCAGGGACATCCATACTTCATACTTGCAAAGAATTGGAATGAAAATCACCCAAATTATAAACCCTAGAGATATGTTAAATGGGAAGAGTAAGGCATGCAAAAAATAACTACAGTGGCTCCTTTAACAGGTAAAACAAGAAATAAGTTTTACGTCATTTTTAGGTGAAGGTCAAAGGTCAAGGTCAAAATGTTGACCTAATTTACTCTAGTTTAGTACAGTGTAATACAATGGTACCAATTTCGAATCAATTTTAGCAATTTAACCTTTTTGACCTTTTCAAGGTCACCCGGAGGTCAAATTCCAAAACCACAAGCATATTTAGAATCAGGGACATCCATACTTCATACTTGCAAAGAATTGGAATGAAAATCCTAGTTTTCAACTTTGAGGTCATTTGAAGGTCAATGTCAAAGGTCAAGGTCAAGGTCAAAATGGTGACCTAATTTACTCTATCCGAGTACAGTGTAATACAATGGTACCAATTTGGAATCAATTTGAGCGATTTTGATTTTTGAACTTGTTGACCTTTTCAAGGTCACTCAGAGGTCGGATTCCAAAACCGAAAGCATATTTGGAATCAGGGGCTTCTATTCTTTATATCTGCTCAGAATTGGGATCGGATACACAGTTTTCAAATTTTGCCCCACTGGGGTGCCCCATTTTTCAAATTTGGGGCACCCAATTTTAAAACCCGGAATATATGTGAAATGGCAATTGTGAGGGATGGCATATCCAAATTTTGGGTAAAAAATAAAAATGGTTACTCCTTGTACGTGCAAAAATGTAAAAATTTGCGATTTGACCTTGGCTAATTAGGGAGGGGCTAATTAAAAAAATGAAGGCATTTCCCTGTAGCCCAGGAACATGTCAAGGTTGATGGTATATGCTAATTAGCTGACATGCCGGTGTGTGCGGAGAAATCTTGCGTGGAATAATAATAATAATAATAATAATAATAAAAATAAGAAAAAGGCGAAAACTATAGAATGCCGTTTCTTCGAAACCGGCATTCTAATAACTAGAGGTTTAAGATTGCAAGCAATCTTAAGGAGGCCCTGTAGGCATTTTTGGCAATTTCAAGGTCAGCCAAAGGTCAAATCTCAAATCTAGGGTCATATATTAACACCAGGCAACTTGTAGATGATTTTAAAAAAAAAGTTTGGTCAATTTGAAAAATCAACTTTTTTTACCTTCCGAAGGTCACTGAAGGTCAACCAAAGGTCAAAGGTCAAAACTAAGGTCAGATTTGGATTCCTGAGATCTTGTAGATGCTTTTTAAAAAAAAGTTTGGTCAATTTAGAGCAAGTTGAAATTTAGTCTTGCAAAGTTTCGAAATTTGACCTTTTTTCAGTTTTTGAGTTCTAATATCTCAAAACTGGCACACAATTTTAATAAATAGTCAATTGCTAATATGTGTAGAACCTATAGAGGAATATATATCCTGACTTTCATGAAAAAATATTGATTTGTAGTCACCAAAACTTAGAAACTTGGAAAACACAGTTTGTGATTTGGTTTGATGACCTTGACCTTTGACCTTGCAAATTTTACTTTTTTAGACCTCAGTGGGTCCTTTGTGATCAAATATACCTAAATTTGAATCCAGAAAATCAATTGTAAAAATCAGTTTTTTTACCTTTCGAAGGTCACCGAAGGTCAACCAAAGGTCGGAGGTCAAAAGTAAGGACATATTTGAGTTCCTGAGATCTTGTAGATGATTTTAAAAAAAAATTCTGGTTCATTTGAAGCAAGTTGAAAAATGACCGATTTTTGCCGTTTTTTG